AAAACCCCAAACTAAAATACCAAACTACAGAGCGAGACCCTGTCTCAAAAAAAAAAACCAGCTAAAAGTTAGGGCCGGGGATTTAGCTTAGTGGTTTCGCCGCCTTCTGCGCAAGCTCAAGGACCCGAGTTCAATACCCGGTACCAAAAAAAAAACATTGTACCATATATCTGTTCTTCATTCCTTTTTGGAGCTGAATAGTATTCCATTGCATAGATATACCACATTTTAAATCTATTCAGCTGTGGATGAACATTTGAACTCTTCACTTTTTGGCTATTATGGAGAATGCTGCCATAGACATTTGGGTACAAGTTTTTGCATGAATATATAATCTCATTTCACTTGGTTATATACCTAGGAATAAAATTTCTAAGTCATATAGTAACTGATCATTCAAGAAATTGCTTCTTTTCTAAAATGGCTGCAGTTTCACATTCCCACCCCCAGTATATTTGGACTCCAATTTACATCTTTGCTAACACTTGTTACTCTCTGACTTATTTTAGCCATCTGAGTGGATATAAAACAGTGTGTTTCCTTGATGGACTACTGATGTTAAGCATCTTTTTATGTGCTCATTGGCCATTTTTACTAATTCTTTGGTGGAAATGTCTATTCAGATCCTTTGTTCATTTTTAAAATAGGACTGAGCTGAAAGAATTTTAAAACATCTAATCTAAGCTGGATATAGTGACACATGATGCCTGTAATACTAACACTCTGGGAGGCTGAGGTAGTAGGATCACAGACTTGAACCCCAGCCTGGGCACTTGGCAAGACTGTCTTAAAATTAAACTTTTTTTTTTTGGTACCAGGGATCGAACTTGGGACCTTGTGCTTATGAGGCAGGAGGCAGAACCACTGAGCTACATCCCTGTCTCCCTCAAAATTAAACTTACAAGAGGGCTAGGGATGTAGCTCAGTATGAAGGCCCTTCATCAACCCTCATAATGAAAACATCTATTTTAAATGTTATCAGATACATAATTTTCAAGTATTTTCTAATTCTATGGGTTGTGTTTTCACTTTCTTGATGGAACTCTTTGAGATATAACTTTACATCTTGATGAAGTGAGATTTGCCTACGTTTTTCTTTTGTTTTTTGTGCTTTTGGGGTCTATCCAAGAATGCTTTGCCAAATCCAAGGTCATGATGATTTAGCTCTATGTCTTAAGAGTTGTTTAGTTTTGGTCCTACATACAGGCATATAGGTCTGATCTATTTTGAGTTAACCTTCGTATGTGATGCCAGACAAGGGCCCAACTTCATTTTTTTGCACATAACCAGTTTCTCCAGCACTGCTGGTTGAAGAGACTTCTTTCCCCTTGAATGGACTTGGTACCCTTACTGAAAACCAGCTGACCATAGATTCAAGGGTTAACTCTAGATGCTCAATCTTATTACTCTGACCCTCTGCCAGTATCACACTCAATCACTCTTCTATGGCAATTTGAAATCAGGAAGTCTGAGTCTTTACATTGTCAACAAAAATCCACTAGGAAAGAATACAAAAGGGAAAAAAATAGTGGGGAGGTTTAATGTCACAAGGAACAGTTTGCAAAGGGAAGGTCCAGTTTATGGAAAGTTCTGCCTAGTAAACAGCAAGCAAGTGTGCTCTAATGCTCAGTCCTGACTGGTTGAGGGCCAGGTTCTGGTAGTGAAGAAGAGCTCTCTGTAGGCTGTTCATCCTGGCAGTTGAAACAGTAACATCCCTGGGCAAGTCCCGCAAAGGCTGTCCTCAATTCTGTAATCCTCCTGCCTCAGCCTCCTGAGTAGCTGGGATTTCAGGCATGTGCCACCACACTTGGCCCATTACATGTATATTTAACAGTGTCTTAATGGTGTGTCTCACATTTCTCTTAAGGCTGTTCTCACTTTTCTTCATTCTCCTTTCCTTTGGAAAGCAGGATAACCTCTCTCAATCTCTGCAAGTTGGTGGTTTATTTCCTCTGCCAACTCAGATCTATTCAGTGCATGTTTTTGGTAATATTTTTTAACTTCATGAAGTTACCTGCTGCCCTTGGGGATACAGGGTATGAGAAATGCTGGCAGCTTGCCCCTCCTAGGTTCTTGTGTATGAAGAACAAAGAATTGCAATTGTACACCCAATGGTAAAAGAAAAAAATATTTATTGATAACAGCAAAGTGTGCTCTGGGCAGGTCCATGCCAACAGAAACAAAAAGGTAGCACAAACAGAAAAGTGGTGTCAGGATGACAGGGAAATAGACACACACAGATAAATCAGGCTTTCAGATTTTAAAAGATCTGCACCCCACCTCAGGTTCATCTCATTCTCTGCATAAGACAGAGTGCTGTGTCATCTCAAGGGGTACCAAAATATGTGTGCCTGTCCCAGAACTCAGTCATTAAATCACACACACGAGATACAGTCCATCCATATGAACCTTCAAGAAGGTTCTAGCAGGGGGAAAGGGTTACTGAAGTTCAGGCCAGGAGATCCATGTGCGTTAGCCTGGATGGAGCCTTTGAGATTTCCTAGCCCTGTTATTTCTGTTTCTCTTAGGACCAGAGGAGGACAATTGGCCTGGGTGCTGCTCAAATTCAGGTGGGTGGAGGGGGAGTGGCCTCCCAGCCCCAGTTGGGCTACCTGTACTGCCTTCACGTTGCCATTTTGGAAATGGAAATCTAAGAACATTTTGATGTTGGACAATTTAGCTCTGTACTTCACCACACCAGAGAGGTATTAAAGGAGAAAAATATACAATTTTATCAGTAAATGCAGGAAAAGCATTTCATAAAATCCAGCACTGGATTCAAGACTGGAAGGCACATTTCCTTAACCTGATAAAAGACTCCTCTACTAGAAAGTAACAGCTACTGCCTACTTAACATTAAAATTTTGTGAGTTTATCTTCAATGTTAGGGCAAAAGACAAAGATGCCAACTGTCATTGTCATATTGGAAATATATAGATTATAAGGATTGGAATACAGGAACTCTCATTATTTGCAGCTGACATGATTGTTACATACACAAAAATTGACAGATTAGAAGAGTTCAGCAAAGTTGCTAGAAATCTAAAGATCAATAAATTAACTTGCTAGAGATAAACCCTTGTAAACTAGAAAATGCAATTTTAAAAAGATGTCATTTACTATGGCAACAAGAACTCTGATGTACTGAGGAACAAATTTTAAGTTGTACATGACCTTGTTATAAAACATAAGACACAATGGGATTATTTCTATATAAATAAAGCTGTATTAAAAGAAAATGGATCACCAGGACCTATTCATAGATGAGAAGCTCAGTATCATAAACAAATCTGCACATTCACTACAATCACAGAAATAACAAAATCTAAATGTGACAAGATTGGAACAAATGTTCCAAATGGAACAAAGGTTCAAGAACCATTCTATTATTTAAAATTACCAATTATTAAGCCACAATGATTTAAACAGTGGCTCACTAGCAAAGCTAGGTAAATGGACCAAATGAACACAGAAAGAGCCCAGCAACATTCTCGCTTCATTGTATGGAAATAGGATATAATGATAGAGGGGTCCTTACAAATAAGGAGGGAAAGAATGCCTGTTTTTTTCTTAAGATGCTAGGGAAGGGAGCTACTTCCATATAACAAGAGAATATACGAGAATTTATTAATGACCTAGGAGGGAAGAGGTTTTTAAATGAGACAAAATATTGAAAGACTAAATTTACTACATTTAAATGTAGAAACTTGAGTGATAAACAACACTAAGTAGATATATGGATGTCCTGATGACTCCATATTTTTATGTAAAAGGAAAAAGAACCCCAACCAAAACTAAAAATCTGTAAGATACATAGCAGTAAGCCTAATATGAAGTGTAAGACCTTTATGAAGTTATTAAAATTTTATCCAGGATTAAAGGACTTAAATGAGGGTTAATGGGGGAAATTATATTAATTATGAAAATTCTATTATCCTCTATTAACAAATAAACCAGCACAGTCTCAGTCAAAAGAGCAACACAATCTTAGAACTTAATAAGCTGATTCTATACTATTTGGAACAAAAAGTGCACAAGACAATGGAGGGGGAGACGGCCACAGGTAGCTGAACACAGGGCAAAACTAAGTGAACCACTGGGAACGGGTGCAGAGACAGAGGTTCACACCCACCACCCAGAAGTAAACACAGCATGCGAAGAGTGGATACTTGGAGTGAAGAACAGACTATTTAGTAATAGTTGGGTCAAGTCCCTTTTCATCTGTGCTTGGGGAAACAACCCCAACAAAGAGATAACGCAAAGAATATGAGGTAGAAATGAGTCATACGAGCAAGTTACAGCAGAGATCTACGAAGAGCCAATAAACGTGGGAATGTTTGGCTTTGCAAGTAATTACAAAATTCGAGTTACAGCAAGGTGCTTTTCTATCACAAGACTGGTTTAAAAACAACCATACATAAAGACTGATGCTACCTTCTGGTGGCAAAGGTGTAAAGAGATAGGTCCTTTAATGGACTGTGAACTGGAGGAAACAACAACTATATCCATTACAATTTTAAAAACTATGTCATCTAGCCCAACACTTTCATGAAGCCAGAACTTTATTAGAGGTATGAAAAGATGTCTTGCACGTAAGTTAGGTACAATAAGGAGGGTATAATCACATTCATGTCAATTACCTAAAACCTGTAATAAAGAAGGTCCAAGAGACAGTGGCTTAAACAAGTCAGTAACCTATTTTACTCTGAAGCAACAGGTCAGAGAGCAGTCCAGGCCTGGCAGAGCTTCTCCATCCTCCGTGTCCACTGTGCGCTCTAACGTCAGGACACTGAAGCCCCAGCGGCATCCCAGCCAGTAAGCAGGGGCCATCCAGGGTAGAGCACAGCCCAGTCCTTGTGTACAGCCCACCTGGAAGTGTTTCATTGCCCTGCTTGGGACTTTGCCGCGTGGCCACCACTGGCAGGGAGGCTGACTCGCGGTATATTCTCATCACCCCTTGCACATTTATGTAGTAACTAAGGAATTTGTAAACTCCGACAAAATTTTTAAATCCTTTATTCATACTGATATACACATTAAATATATTTACACTGCACAAACCATTTAATATTCTAGAAGTTAGACTTTATCTAATGAATAAGTTACCTGTCTTGTCAAAACCACTTCCACAGAGCATCGTTGTCCTTGTCCATCAAACGAGAGGACAGGATTGTGTTCACAGGTGTCCAGCCCGAGACACAGCCCACCCAGGGCCAGAGCATGCAGGCACAGCTTGGGTGAAGACCACCTCACGATTACTGCACTGCCAACTTCCGACAGGTATTTTTAGTTGAAGAGAAAGCTACACTTTACCTTCTCTCTAGCTCAATACGGTTTAGACTTCTGACACTACAGGTAGGAAGCCCTGAGAACAAAAGGACACAATTTTTCTACAGGCTAGGGATTATAAACATAAAAATAAATGGAAAGCTCCCCAGAAGCAAACCAGCCATGAGTTTTGACCTCCATTGTGCCAGGTACTGAAGGTTAGGACTCACTGACCTTAGTAATCCCTCCTATGGTAAAGTGAAGTAATGTAACCTTCCTCCCCACATACACACACACACACACACACAAATGCACGCACAAACACACATACAGATATATAAAAATGAACAAGCCGGAATCCTAAGAATGGAAGCAGGAGATCCTGCTGGGAACCATGACTGCGGGGAAGGATCCCTGGCCTGACCTATCAATCAAAGTCTCCGCACAGAGAGCCGAGCCCATATCGGGCAGCTGCAGCAACACACAGCCTGCAGAGGTGCCTCCTCTGGGTAGCAGGGAAAAGCAGATGGGACTGCACATGGCTGCCCACTGTAAGTATGAGAAGGCGTAGGCCGAGGCATGGGAGGGAGGTGAGCAAAATACACGTACAGAGAAATGGAAGACAAAAAGCACCAGGCAGCGGAAACATCCAGGAGACAAACTGCAGTGTGACAGCTATGGCGGAAAAGCAGGAATACAATAGACTCAGGGTAACAAGACTTCAGAGAAGAGATGACATGCAACCATGAGAAGGAAATGAGAAAAACAAGGCTGAGGGACAGGAGTAAGGCTGCACCACCACAGAACCATAAACCCACGAACAGGCTCAAGTGAAAAGCAAGCCACTGAGACAGGAGAGTCACGCCGCAAGGGAAGGCATGAGCAGTGACTGCAGAGGAGCCACAGCTGAAGCGGCTCAGATCTGAAGGCACCGGCTCCGCAGCAGGGGCACATACACGTGCAGTCCAAGTGCGTGGGACACCTGCTGCACAGGGACAGGCCAGACCCTGGCTGAGATCTGCAGGGATGTTCCTGGGTGGTGCACTTCCTAGCAGTTCTGCTTGGATTTTTCATTTAATGTGTAAAACATGGTAACACTTTCAACTTTCCCGAAATCAACAGTTACTATGGCGGGGGGCACCTTTCACTTAAAGTACAGCCGGGATAAACTGAGTACATGACTATTAACAAGTTATTTCCTGCTTTACTCATGGTAACACCTGCAGCGGGACATTCGGTTCAGGGTGGAGCCTGCACTCAGTATGCGAGGGCCTAAGCTCAACTCTCAGCACCAAAAGCAAAAATTTTAAAACCTGCCAATGTATAGTAACTTAAAAGGAGACTGTTTATGAAGGCAACTGTTTTCCAAGATAAGAAACTGATCTCTTTTGGGTGGCAAATGGTAAATTTAAGCATTTAAAAGTTACGCACCAGAACACTGCTGCTATCAAATACTGAAAATCTAATTTATTGAACAGGTTGACTGAATGGAAGCCATGTGTCTAGCACCAATAAAATGAGACTTCTGTCCCACAAACCTCTCCATGAGCACAAGGCGCTCCCTGACAGTATCTTTTGGCCAAAGGAACACATGTGCTGCGAGGATTATCTGTTGGGTCCCTGATTTTATAACATAGTTCCCACCCCCAGGCCCAGTATTTCCTTCTTCAGTCAGCATTTTGAAACTCTGCAGGGCTGAGGAACACCACTTCCTTCCTTGGCTCTGGTCATGAGGTAGATGCCATGTGGAGGGTCACAGGCCCAGGTGGGGGGTTCCGAATCCTGTGCTGGGAGCCAGGAGGTGGGGGAATGCCAGACTCAGCAGTACTCTGGCCTGAGTCTCCACACTCCTTCCCCGCCTGGTGTCCTGTGAAAGGTGCACAGGTTCCTCAGCAGCTCCCGGAAGACACAGGACTGTGATGCAGACAGCTTGGGCTCGAACTCCTGTAGGAGCTCTCGGGTGCTGGCCTGGCCATCCACACGGGCCTGGAAAGCAATGAAGTTCCTCATGTCCACCAGTAGCTCATCGTGCTCCGTGGCGCAGGATGGCGGTGCAGACACCTCTGCCACGTGCCCATTTTCACTCTCCAAGCGCTCAGGGAGGATCAGGTGGTTTCTTGCTCTCATCCTGGCCAAGAGGGAGGAAGAGGTGAGGGCCCCGGAGGAAGAGTCTGTGTCCTCAGCTTTTCCACTGAAGTGCTCCGACATGTGGTCTTTTCCTTCCCTTTTCACCAAACCATCCTGCTGAAAGAAGGCAGCAGCAGTGATACACTGATTTCTAGGTTATATACCCACTTAGCTCCCCAGAGGCAATAAAGGACCCCAAATTAACCTGGGCACCAGGCAGGAGAACACAGTCAGAGACCGAGACTTCATATCACAGCCCAAGGGAAAGGAGGAGAGCCCGACATCAGAGTCTACCTGCTGTTAATGTTTCCTAACAAATTACAGGACCAGAAAGGAGAGCTCCTCAGCCACACCCTGGGCCACACACAGTACTGGAGGCAGGCAGAGGGAGGGCACACAGCAGGGAAGGAGCAGGGACATTGCCATACTGCCTCTCTTTTCCTTTCACTCACATCTGCACATCTCTTCTACCTTATAACTCACCTGAGTTTCCTTACAACAATGGTACTAAACTAACCTGGGAAGTGCTCCAGATTTCTGCTAAAAGCACAGAATGTGGCAAGTCTGAGAAGTTCTATTCCTGAATGTGTCCACACTCATTTAGATTTGGGAGTCCCCAAGTTTCAGTATTAACACAACTGTCATCAGAAAGACAAAAGTGCCGAGTGGAGGCCTGAGGCTTGGTTCATTGTCCTTGAAACACTGGGGACATGGAAGGCACTACACTATAGAGCTGGAGGACAGGGGAGTCCCACCAGGCAGCTAGTCAGTCTGGGGCAACCACGTTCAAGGCAGCTTGGTGGTGGTGGTGGGATCTCTGGAGTGGGCAGGACCCCCACATGGGCAGGACGTATATTCATGGTGGCACGCCTGTCCCTGTACCAGGTGTCTAAATGTAGGGCAAAGATGCTGATGCAGGCCTTGGGTTTTAGATAGTCAACGGCCCTTTTAGATTCCAGGGAAAGCATATCATGAATCAAAGCCCACAACGCAAGCGTCAGGTGTCACACCAGGAGCAGCCATCTTTCACCCTCAGAATCGGATGAAATGCGGTCAAACATGTCTCGCATGTGGAAAGCGATCCATCCTGTTACCTGGCATTCTTCTGTTGAAGAGGATGAAGGACGATGCACAGAGAGGTTAGAGTTCCTTTTCTGACCAAATCTACTCCTAAATAAGGAAAAGAACCACAGCAGATAAAGGTTAGCTTTTGTGACTTAAGGAAACAAAGTACTTATTTACCAACTGAACTCTTCTGGGAAAATGCATCTCTGTGGCTGTTCTTCCAGAGCCGCACAGTTCCACCCCCTGGGCTTCTCCTGCTCTGCCAGGGAAGCCATTGCTGTGTCTCGCAGCAGCAGCCCCTCAGAACCCTGCTCAGTCCATGGGGCAGATGCCACCTCATTGCACAGGAGAAAGCGATTCCAAAGGGCTGCTGAATAGCTTCGCTATAGCTACACACTAGCTGACCACGCCCGTAAAGTTTAACCATTATTCTGTGTCTCCTACTATTGTAACTACACTGTTTCTCAAACAAAACTGATCACTTCCTCCCCTCAAGGTCTGCTTTGGAAAGCAGGGGTGAAGTGAGGGAGCTAAGGTGACAGTGGCTTGCCCAAGTCACCCAAGCCTGGTTGGCCTAGGTTCCACAGCCACAGTGGAGTCTGAGCGTACACACTCGCCCTGATGGCAGCCAGCCCCAACTTCTGCCACCCTACAAGCATAGTGGAGGAACTCTCACTTCACTCTGGCGCCCCTGTGGCCAGTCCAGGTGGGAACACCAGACGCAGCACCTAGACACTGCTGACGGGACAGCCGCAGGGCTTTCAGGGCGTCCTGTGCCACTCGGTTGGCTTCTGCCTCCACCAGCACGTAGTCCGGGCTGGCACCGTCCATGATGGCATCATGCTTCACAACGCTGTGCACGCCCACTGGCAGAGACAAAGGAAGCAGTGTGAGTGAGATTGCGGGTGCACACAGCCTCTCTCCTTTCCTTGCTAACCGTCTGGTACCATGGGAGACAAAAGATAACACATTAACTGCTCTTCACAAGGGGGACTGCCATAAATGCAGGTTCTACGCACACCACAGCCTGACAGGGGAGTTAGTAGTGATCCCTGTTTTAGAATAATCTAAGAAAAGGCTTTAATCACAATCTTAACACTTAACCTCTTCCCTGCCCCTGGGGAAGAAAAGCAAATACCTCCCACTAACTGTTCAATGAAGGCAAAAATCTAAACCAGAATTATAGAATTTCTAAAAGATAAAGATCATGAAAACAGTACATATCAGAATTTCTGGGATAAAATTAATGTGGTGATTGGTGGAAAATCCATAGCCTTGAATACTTACATCAATGAAAATGCAAGAATAAAAGTGAGTTAAATTTCTAAGTACAAGTTATAAAAAGAACAAATTATGCTAAATAAAAAAGCCAACAAAATTTAACATAAACAAAAGTACCAGGAATAGAATAATAAAGATAAAAGCAAAAATAAAAAAATAGAGAACAACCATAGATCTAGTTAGTAAATCAAAAACTTGGCTTATTGAAAAAAACCTCACAAAATAGATAATCCTCTATCTTGGCTTAATGAAAGAAAGAAAAATAAATTTATACAATTATAAATGATGGGTGGAAACTATCTTGAAACAGAAACAAATTTTTAAAACTTTCTAAGAATATTTTATATACATGCATGCAAACTTGAAAAATGGACAAGACAGACAAGTTTCTAGAAAAACAGACCAGTAACATAGAAGAAACAGAAGAGCATTACCAATGATACACATAAAACAGAAAACTACAGAGCAACATCATTTATGGACATCAATGAGAAAATATTAGTTATAACATCAGCAAATAGAATCTAGCAACAAAGAAAATACACTATGTATAGAGTTATCTAGGAATTCAAGGTTGGTTCAATATTAAGAAATTCGTGTGTGGAGAGAAAGGAACCCTTCTCCATTGTTGGTGGGAATGTACACTGGTGCAACCACTGCGGAAATCAGTATGGAGATACTTCAAAGAACTAGGACTACAGGTCCCATTTGACCCAGCTATTCCCCTACTGGGAATCTTCCCCAAAGAATTAAAAGAATCATACCACAGCAACATAGGTGCACCCATGTTCACAGCAGCACAGTTTGTAATAGCTAAAACTTGGAAACACCCCAAGTGCCCATCGATTGGTAACTGGATAAAGAAGATGTGGGTTTTTTTATAAAATGGAGTACTACTCAGCCATAAAGAATGAGAAACTAGAGACATTTATAGCTAAATGGATGCATATTGAGTTCTCTAGTGTGAGAAATTGAAAGTGTAAATAAGGATGAAAATGATTAAAATGAATAATTGATAATTTGAAAGGTCCAAGGGTTTGAGAGTGGTGGGAGGGGAAGGGGAAAGGGAAAAAGGGAAAGGAAAAATTATGAGAAAGAAAAAAAAAATGGAATCAAATTCTGTGTAAATAGGGAAGGGTGGAGGGGGTGAAGGGTGCACAGGTAATGGGAGAAAAAATAAGAACCAAGATACATCACATTCAGGTACAAACACCCAATGATAAATGTAAATGTATTATATACCTAAAATGTACCAATAAATATATAAATAAAAAAAGAAATTCATATGAGCTTCAATATTATCCATAGGTGATATTTCTAGGTAAGCGTGCTACCACTAAGCTAGTCCCTCATCCCTACACATAATTCTAATGCCTTTGACAAAACTTAACATCTATGCCCAATGACTACACTCAAAAAATTGAAAATTGATCGAAAGTTCCTTAATAAATATATACCTTAGGTTTATATCAGAATCTTACTTAATGGTAAACACTAGAGGTTATTTTCACTAAGAATGGGAAGCTAAGATGTCTAATACTTGCTATTTAACATTTAACTGGATGCATTAGCCAGTGCAGTAAAAAAAATCAAAAATGTGGATTGAAAAGTAAAAATTATTTTTTGTGTTTTAACCCAAGGCCTTGCTCATGCTAGGCAAGCACTCTACCATTAACCTATACCTCCAACACCCCCCACCCCACCCCCACCTTTTTAAATGTTTGAGTCAAGGTCTGGCTCAGGTGCTCAGGATGGCCTCAAACTTGCAAACCTCTGGCTTCAGCCTCCCAGGTAGCTGGCATTACAGGTGTGTGTCACTTCACCCAGCCTTTGAAGTTTTTAAATAACAACATTCCTAGAAACCCTAAAGAACCAATGATAAAACTTAGTAAGTCAGTGGTGACAAAGCATAAAATTAACCTACAGAAACCTACAACCTTCCTAATCACACACAACAGTCAGTTAAAGGGTAAATGGTGGGAGAGACTCCCTATACAAACACAAGTAACATAAAACAGGAATAAACCCAAGAGATTTGCCAGCCTTACACAGAGAAACATTAAGACTCCCAGGGTTTTGTTTTTTTTTTTGGTACCGGAGATTGAACTCGGGTCCTTGCGCTTGCGCAGTAGGCGGCAAAACCACTGAGCTAAATCCCCAGCCCTCTCAGGGTATTTTATTAGGCCTGAACAGATGCAAAGACTTCATTTGTTCTTGAGTAGGCAACTCAATAACTACTGATCGCCCTGTTAATTTACATGCTTAGGACAATCCCAATAAAGACACCAACAACTTTGTCCATGAAGCTGACAGATGGATAGAGGCTCATATGGAAAAATGAATGGGTATGAATCTCTAGGAAAACCCTGAGAAGGCAAAGCTGTGCCTTGATGGACAGCGGGACTCTGACCGCAGGTCTGTGCTGAGAAGGGAAGATGAGGCAGGGACTGGTGAGAAAGCACAGGTGCAGGCGCGGACACCACCATGCACAGGACAGTGCTGTCTGACAGGAGCACCAGTGAGCCAGTGAGGAAATGGATTTAAATACACAATGCCAGCAAAGGTGGGGAGCTCCTACTCAAGTGCATCAGAGATCTCAACACAGAAAATAAAAACTGTTCAAGCAGCAGAGAGGAAAACATGGTGAATTTCTGTATTAGCTAAGAGTAGAACAGGCTTCCTAACTATGACTAAAAGTAACAGGTAAGGTTGATAAATCTGAATATACTTTTTAAAATAACTTTTCCTTGGGAAAAAAGTTACTACAAATACTGCTGGGGATCTTCCCCAAAGAATTAAAAGAATCATACCACAGTGATATATGTGCACCCATGTTCATAGCAGCACAGTTTCTAATAGCTAAAACTTGGAAACAGCCCAAATGCCCATCAACTGGAGACTGGATAAATAAAATGTGGTTTTTTAATAAAATGGAGTACTACTCAGCCATAAAGAATGAGAAACTACAGACATTTATAGCTAAATGGATGCATATTGAGGCCACAGTCTTAAAGAAATAAACAGGATACACATGTGTAAATACTGAATAGTTTCTCTAGTGTGAGAAACTGAAAGTGTAAATAAGGACTAAAAAGTGTAATAGATAATGTGAAATAGGAAGAAAAGGAGCAAAGGGGAAGGGGAAGTGGGAGGGGTAGGGGAAAGGAAAGAAGGGAATGGAATATGAGAAAATGAAAAAAAGGAAACAAAGTCTTTGTAAATAGGGAGGGATGGAGGGGTTGGAGGGAGGGCAGGGGAAGAGGGAAAAAGTAAGAATCAAGAGAGTATGTAAAGGTGCATATCTCCAATGATGAATGTCATTATATTGTACACCTAAAATGTACCAGTAAAAGGATACACAAAAAAAAAAAAAAGAAAAAAAAGAAAAGCTTTTGCACAGCAAAAGAAACTACCAATAGAGTGAAGAGACAACCCACAGTATGGGAAAATATTTCTATCAGCTATTGCTCAAATGACTAATATCTAGAATATACAAAGAACTCAAAAAAATCAGACCCCCCAAATTTAAAGACTGAGTCAAAAAAATGGGAATCTGAAATAGACACTTCTCAGATGAAGTACAAACAGCAAATAAATATATTAAAAAATTTTCAACATCACTGATCATTTGAGAAACGTAAATTAAAACAACATCGAGATTCCATTTCACTCCAGAAAGAAATGACTATCAGGAAGAATTCAACCAGTAACAAATGCTTGTACGTCTGTGGGGTAAAAAGAATCCTTCTCCACTACTGGTATAAATTGGTACAACCAGTTTGGCAATCGGTATGGAGTTTGCTCAAAAAACTAAAACTAGAGGTTCCATTTGACCCAGGTTTTCCTCTTCGTATTGTCTTTCTGAAAAAGTTAAAAATATCACACCACAGTGATATATGAACATGTATGCTTATATCAGCACAATTTGTAATAGTTAAATCTTGGAAACAGCCCAAGTGCCCATTAATGGATGAATTAATAAAGAATATGTGATTTTTATATATAAAGAGTACTACACTGCCATAAAGAAGGACAAACTTGAGACATTTTTTGGTAAATGGATGGACCTTGAGAAAATAATTTTTTTTACCTGTACATAATATATCTTGATTCTTTTTCCCCATTCCTCCACCCTCCCTTCAACCCTTCTTCTACTCCTTATTTACAAAAGCTTTGCCATTTTTTCCTTCTATTCTTTTTTTCTTTTTCCTTCCTGCCCTTCTCCCTCCTCCCTCCCATACTCCCCTCCCATTTGAACATTTTCTTTCTGCTTCGCAATATCTGTCATGCATTTTTGTCCTTATTTATCCTTTTAGTTTCTCATACAAGAGAAACAACGTAATATTAAAAGTCTAGTGCTCGATTTATTTTTTTAAAAAGCTACTACAAATAAAACAAGACAAATTGAGAGAAAATGTTTACAGCATATATGAAAAATAAAATAAAAGGGGATATTAAAGCTAATATTCCTAATTTGTAAAGAACTCTAAAAAACCAAGGGGGTGAGGGGAGACCAAAAACAAAAGATGTAACAGACAATTCACATGAAAAAAGAAAAAAGATTCAAATGGCCCTATACATGTTACTCAAATTAATTTATTATAAAGTAGATGCAAAATTAACATCAAAACGAGCTACCATTTCTTATCATTCAGACTGGCAAAAACTACAAATGTAACACACCCTCTTGGCAAGCTCTGGGGACAGACACTTGTACAAAGCTGGTGACAATTCACTTCGATATCAACATATGGAGGGGAGTCAGGCATTACTTCAGGAAAAAAACCCAAAATTTCTACATAGTCACAATGCCACTTGTAGGGATTTTGTCTGAAGGTAAACCTCTAATAATACTAAAAGATGTAGGCACAAGATTATTACTGTAACATTATGCTTGAAAAAAAACCTGGATAATGTAAATGCTCAACTGTGAATAATGAGGAAGTTCTATGAACATGGAGCAACTGTCAGGATACATGATGTTTTTAAAAAGAACCAGAAGAGGGTACAGTGGTCCCTTGGCTCACGTACTTAATTTTCCCCTAATTCTGGGGAAGATGGCCACATTCCTGTTCATGCAAGGAAGACAGCAGGGAAGATCGCTCTAGTCCTGTGCATCACCCATGTGGAGTTTGCAAATGGAAGTAAAAGTTTGCCAAATGCTTCTGTTTGCAAACCAAACATAAGAGTTGGTGAACTGAGATATTACTATACACAGGGAATATGAAATTATACACATGTGCCTGCTTATTCTGGCAAAAAAAGAAACACAGGAAGGGAATGCCAAAAATTAATGGGACTGAGGAGAACGGGTGGAAGGTGACACTTCTGAGCCAGCTCTCTTTTTTTGGTACCGGGAATTGAACTTGGGACCTTGCGCTCAGGAGGCAGGTGCTGGAACCACTGAGCTAAATCCCTGGCTTGAGCCATCTCTCTTTAGAGTTTTGCCTTGTGTAACTATTTTATTGTGTTACAGATTCACAAAGTAAAATAAAACAGTTAACAATGTATACAGAAACAAGTTAAAACTTTTAAATTGGTAATATAATTGTTACCAATTGTGAAACACAACAAAAAGAGAGATCAAGAAACATCTGAACATAGTGTTTTGACTTAAAAACTTCAGACAGACTAGAGACAAAAAGAAGTGAAAAATTACTGAACTCTGGTTGATTTTGTAGAGGTGCTACTACAATAAGGAGCTTGACATCCCTTTGTCATGTCTGGGCTAGCTTCAATTTATTTTCTCTTCATTTTTTATCACATTTTTCTGTTCCTTTATATACCAGCACATGTGATTTGGTGCAGCCATTGTGAATTTTATCTTGCTGGGTATTCACATTATCCCTGTTAAGGCTCAGGTGGGGCGGAAAGAGCACCAACTCTAAGCTACTCCTGCAGCAAGATCCTGACAACACTGAGGGTCCCGGGCTGGCCCGCTGGTGGGCACAGGCAGGGTGGAAAACTTGAGTCCTCTGTCCTTCCTCAATCCTGACCCGCTCCAGGGAGCTCCATCACACCAATGTACCATCGGCCCTCAGCTGAGGTCCTCCCAAGCCTCTGCAGGTGGGTGGGATCCTCTGCCGCACTCTTTCCTGTGAAATCCGGCCACCTGGGTCTCTGGATGCTCCACTTTGTCTGATTGGGCTCCTTCTGGTTCCCCTCTTATATGTCACGGCCTGAAACAGCTCAAGGTCACTAGGGGGACACAGTAACTGTAGGGTTCAGTTCACCTCCCATCTCTCAGAGATTGCTCACTGATTACCCTTCATACCTGAGAACCACTGCCTCAGAAAACTGCATCTCAGTGGTTCTGAGTGGGAGAGGAAGAGCTATTCTATCCTTGCTGGAAGCCAAACTCATGGCTTTACAGACAGGCGTAGGTATGCATATCTGCACATGGAAACGTGCACACACACACACACAGCAGCACACCTATACATGCATCTGTTCCTAGCTCTGCAGAGAAGCAGTGACACACTACTAGCAATGAACCTCTGAAAAGCCAGGTTGTAGTTTCTAAATCCAGGGTTTCCTGCAGAAGGGACTGATCCCAGGGCTGGAGAGGAAAATTAAGAGTAGAGCTTGGAACACCTTTGGTGCGCCAGAACTCAGCAGGTGTTCAAGGAATAATGAGAAAAGGCCAAGACAGGAGCAAAATGGAGCTCCTTCCATGCAAATCTAAGACAACACAGGTACCACAGAAATATTAAGGGACTAGTCATGAAAAGAAAACATATAGGAGTCCATACTGATAGAAAAATAAATCTTTTTTTTGGTGCTGGGGATGAACCCAGGGCCTGATGCACGCTAGGCAAGTGCTCTACCAGTAAGCTGCATCCCCAGCCCTACGAATAAGTCAACAAACCAGAAAGAAGAAAGAAAACCTTCTTAATACTGGGACACTAATCACTGTGTGGCAACCAATTGAGGAAGAGTCATTAATGTATTCTAAAGCTAGTGGAATGGAATGAGATACCTACACAGCTCAAAGAATATTAATTACAAAGGAAAATAAGTATGGGGCTGAGAAATCTGGTAGCCCTCACCTCAACTAGGTGATCTTAGCCAGTGGTAGAATAAACCAACAGGTGTCTCCTGGAGGTGCATGGGTGGGGGCACTACTACTTCTGCACATTCCCGCCAAAACCCAGGTGTGTTCACATGTACACCCGATGTGTAAGGAAGCACTGAAAACATCAATTGCGGAGTAAAGCAAGAGCAGAGTTGTACAGACTATTTCAACTTATTTAAGTTTGAAACTATCTCAAAATAAAAAATTAAGAAAGAAATATAATCAATGTTAAGTGCAAGTCTTTCCGAAGTGCCACATGCACCTGGCTTCTCAGACAGAGCAACCTAAGCAGCGCTCCCTGGTGTGGACACAGTGGTCACTAGGCTGAACAAGAGAGCCCTCCCAAAGGCAACAAAGCAGGGAAGGGCACAGTCCCCCCAGTCTGAGCAGTGCTATGTCAGCCTCCTCTAGTGCTTTCCCTGGGTGTTGTACTATCAGCTTTCCTGGGTCTAGAATGCCGGCCCCTCCATACTCCTATGGTACCATCCTCCATGGCTGGAAAATCTGGTACTACAGCAGGTGAGGAAGGCACACACGTCTGTTCAAAGCCTCACACCTCTCCTGTAAGTGGCTGTATGTTAACTACCATTGCTTCCCTATACAGAAATACCCATTCTCCCAGGAATGGGAGAATCCAGAAAGGGAATCAACAGTCTTTGGAACGTCAAACATTTCAAATCTGGATTCAGGAGGAGACTACTCCTGGCTGCCAGGCTGGACACAGCCTTATGCCCTGTGACGCAGGCATCAAGGACATTACCTGATTTCTTGAAGAGCTTTTCTAGAACATAGTCGTCACCACTGTGCACCCTGGCCTTGCTGTCGGGGCCCAGATCATGCCTGTGGTACCGCCTTCTCTTCACCAGGTGCGGCACTCGTGTGCCCTCGAACTTGGCATCTCTGCGGTGCCTGGTGCTCTCGTGCTTCTGCCGCTTCTCCAGCGTCCCCTCTTCCGCCACACCCTGATGCTTCCTTTTCGACTTGTGCTTATAGGAATGACTTCCCACCTGTTCATTCTCCCGAGGAGGTTCTGCTGGAACCAGGCCGCTGTCTCCTTCATCAGAAGGCCCCTGCTTCGCAGCAATGTTTTCTTCACCAGACAGGAGGAGAGCTCCGCCAATTCGTGGGCAATCAGAACAGTCTCCATTTCCACTGGTCACTGGTGGCTCCTCTGGTCCAGACGCTGCACTTGTCCCCTCACTAACCCTGTCACTGCTAGTTACCCTGCCACCCGGGTGAGGGTCAGTTTTCAAACGGTTACTTGGACTGGAAGTTACCATGATTCCTTCAGCTCTTGTTGCCTTAGATTTATGTTCAGATGACGTGGCCACATTTGCAAGTGTGTTAGAATCTGGGAACTTCTTGCATTTTGGAACATCCCGGTCTGTCCCAAAGGCTGGCAGAATCTTCCTTTTTAAATGGCGTTTGGGTGTTGGAACATCTGAACCAATTCCTGTAAAAGGGAAAGCATAGCTAATACTAAGTGCACAAATCGTATGTAAATTATTACCTGAAATTAAAGGCCTTTCTGTATTACCTGCAAAAATAGCACTTGTTTCAGTGCTCTGGGAGCCATTAGGGCTAGTCAGAGTAAATAGCTCATAAAGGTCATTGGATTTGAAAAACCGCCTTGGCTTTGGATCTTTTAGCACTCTGTTTGTCAAAAATTGCTTGAAGATTTGTCTGAAAGGATAAAAAATTAAGCTGACATGAAACAATGCTTAGTTCTACCGGTATGTTCTAGTTATGAAACAATATGAGAGGGAGGTGATGGCTGCAGCTGAATGAATGGCTAGATAATGCCCAAACTTTCAGCCCTGAGAAATCACAGTTCAGCAAGTATGTAATGCTTCAGTTGGTTTCTAGTGTTTTATAGAATTAGAAATACTATTTATTATTTCTATCCAACAAGCTTTCTGAACCTACAAGGTTCAGCACATTTCAAAAAATGCCTTTTCACACACAAGCCTGTGACCCACAGCCTCTCTGCACTTCGAGAAGCTGCATCAAGGAGCCCTCTCTCAGGAAACTCTTAGCCCTATCATACTGTACCAAAGTCTCACCTGCCACCCTGTGGCTCAGGCGCTCTACAGGGCAGCACTGCATCTTCACGTGTGTGGAAATGTCAAAATTGGGCTTCAACTTTGTATCTTTCACAATTTTTCTACAGGAGGTAGGAACACTTCACTTCTCTCAGATAACAGTGAATACCAAGGTCATATATAAGTGGTCCCTGAAGTAGGCTCAGGTACAACAACATGTTTGAAGGCATTTTAAAATAAAAAAAAAAACCCTCATAATAAGCTAAGCTTATTTTAATGGCAATGAAAAAATGCAAAACAAAACAAAAATCTATAACCCTTAAGTTACAGCAAAGATTACTCTAACATGGAATATACTGTATAACAACACTTTAAAGTACTCCCCATTCAAACCCCAGGTGCACAGAAAAGGGGCCTGGCAGCATCTCACTGACCGGTGGTAAATCTTTTCCTCGATAGTGCCAGCCATCAGGAGCCGGTACACAGTGACCTGCCTCTTCTGGCCTATCCTCCAGGCTCGCTCCCGGGCCTATGACAGAGAGAGATAGCTCGGCAAGGGCCCTGCCAGGGGGATGCTGATGGAGGGACACAAAGGTAGGGGGTGGCTGCCTTTCACTCTCAGAGTCAGAATTTTGGCGAGTGTGGTCAAGGCTGTGAACACCCGAAAACCCACTCATGCAGATTAACAGCCCCCAACAGAACAGAACCAGACAGCTGGATCTAAAAGCAGAGTTCCCAGGTATGCATGTGGTCCCTTCATCTCATGTGAATCCAAAACGCAGACAGCACTCAGGAGCCAGCTAGAATATGGGAGGATGATGCCAGCCATGAAACTGTTCTCACACATCTTCCAAGGTACAAGACAGACCTGTGTGTCAGTGCTCGGGTTCCAGTCAGGGTCGTAGATGATTACTCTGTTGGCCCCGGTCAGATTGACACCTATGCCGCCTACCCGCGTGGTCAGAAGAAACACAAAGATGGATGCATCCTGCAGACAAGACATGCCACACATGTGTTGGGAGTGTCAGAGGGGAGCACCAGCTCTGCCTCGGGTTGCTCACACCCCACCCAGAGTGCCAAGCCACTGCCAAGGCCAGTGATGACCACAGCCTGGAGAATCGTGTGAAACCAGCGCTCACCTCACAGCTCCTAATATTATGTCAGGAATATTTACAAACTGGGTTTCCAAGGAGAAAGGCACTTCCTTTACACACACACACACACACACACACACACACACACACACGTGAACCTGTGCAACTTCCCCATCCTCTTCAAGTACACAGAGGTACAGGAAAGAAGTCCTGCTGCCTGCTGCCCAGCCCCAGAGGACAGCAGTCCAGGTGGCCATGGCTGATACACAGCCAATCTGCTAATCTTCTCCCTCACAGCCCTTGCTACCTCGTTGTATCTTGCAATCAGAGGCTGGCGAGAGGCGATGGTAGTGGTGCCGTCCATCTTGAGATAGGAGTACTTCTGGGCTCTCAGGAACACTTCGAGGATGTGCAGCATCTGTGGGAGAGAGAAGACTGCTACACCTGTGTCGGTAGCCACACCTTCCCCGGTAGGCTTGTACAAAAAGAGTTTCTTGTTCTAGAGTGGAGAAATGAAACTGTTAGAATATTTTTGGTATTTCTTACAGTTAATTCTTACAACTTTTGTAAGTAGCCTAAACTCAGGTCTAAACTCACCCGGACACCAGCATCACATCACAGGCTTTTTAAAAAGTCAAGTTTGGTCACCATTTCCAGGGAAGAATCCAACCCTGCAAAGATTCTGCAGGCTGCTATTTTGCATCCATGGAAGACCTTGCTCTGGAAGCATTACCTTAGGTCATAGCTTATTTTTTAAATTAAAGGTCATAAGCCCTAAGGAGCGACTTGTTTCTTGAAGTCTGCACACTCACCTGTCTCGACTGAGAAAACAGCAGTACTCGCTGACCCTGTTTGTGCCATATTTTCAGCAAAGACTCAACGACAATCATCTTCCCAGAACGCTTCCAGTATCCAAACTGATCCTCTTCTAGTTCATCATCTGGAAGACCACCGAGATTCTTGGGGCCTCCAGAAAAGAGATCAGGGTGGTTGCAGATTTTTCTTAGAGCTACAATTCCAGAGAAAAGCTGCAATGCAAAAGAACATAAGTGTACACAGATTACCTTAGAGATAAGGAAGGATGGAATGGAAAGAGGCTGTTCAATATGTGACATGGATTAAAGTCATTCTTCACCAGCTTCTGAGCTTCTTCCCTAATCACAGCATTGTTAGGCGTTGGGTGTTTACTCATCTTCCCCTGACCAGATAACTTCTCAGGAAATAAAACAGCTCTACTGGACTGAACATGTCCATATTCAATTGCTGATAACGGATTTTCCCTCACTAGAAAACAGTTACACAGTTCATAGCACTATGGACTTGATACAAAGAAACACTGTCATAGTTTAGTATGATGTGTCCTCCAAAGACTGTGTGTTGAGGGCTTGATCCAACATGCACCGATGTTCAGAGGGGCCTAGAGGGTGACTGGATCAGAGGGTGCAGACCTTAAGAGTGGATGAGTCCACTGATGGGTTCACAGCTGATGAGCTAAAGAGGTGGGGCACAGGTGGAGGAACCAGGTCACTGGAGGAGCACCTTGAAGCCATACCTTGTCCCAGCCTCCTTCCTCTCTGGCTCTTCCCCTGCTGCCTCTCCTCCACCACGCCCTTCCACCATGATGTTTCCACCCTGGCATCAGCTGACCATGGACTGAAACCTTCAGACAAAATAAGCCTTTTCTCTTTTCAATTGCATATGTCAGGTATTTTGCCCTAGCAACAGAAAGCTGACCAATACACTCAGTCACTTTGAAAATGCTGAACAGAAATACCACCCATGCCAGTCTAACTTTGCAGAAATCAGTCATGGGATTATCAAATACATAAGCACCTTACTAAAAGTTCTAGTTTAAGGTATGAGTCAGGTTAAAACTCATTTACTTCCATGGTACCACTGCCTCAGAGACCGAATCAGTGTGGGAAGATGTGGACTGTGGCTCGTGCATCAAAAGCAAAGGGTGAGAGTGAGCATGCCCTGGCCCTGGACCCACCAACAGCCCTAACTGAACTGTAAGAATGAGCAAGCATTCACAGCTTTCAGAGTGTGACTCAAAGCAAACCACTGGCATGCAAGCTCAAGTGTGAAAGAAAACTCATAACTTAATAATCACAGGGTATGGCAATTTTAACTAGGAAACAGCACTTAGATGAGTAAGGATCTTAGCAAGTTAAGAATACTGTCAAAACTCTCCCAACAGCCATCTCCAACTTGTTTTTTTCCCACTAGACTTATGCCATCCAATACAGCAGCCACCAGCCACATGCAGTACAGAGCATGTGAAGTGTGGCTGGGCTGCATGGTGATGTGCAGCAAGTGTAGAATACACTCTCAATTTTAAAAACAGTACAAAAACTCAAAGAGTAAAATGTCTCGTTAATCATTTTTAAATTCTGGTTACACATTAAAATAGTGTTTTAGGGGGCTGGGGATTTAACTCAGTGGTGCTGCACCTGCCTTGCAAGTGCAAGGTCCAGAGTTCAATCCCCATTACCAAAAGAAAACAAAAAGTATTTTAGTGATATATTCAGTTAAATAAAATAATAAAATAAGCACTCGGTGCCATGAACAAAACAGCTGTGCTGCTGTTCATTTCCAGCAAGCTCAAAGCACAGGAGTAAGGCTGGGGGATCTCTGAGTGCACAGTGCTACTCACTGTGCCTCCGAAGAGGACAGGTGAGGACCACAGCTGCAGAGTTGAGCATGGTGGTGGGTGTGCAAGTGTACACTTGCTACAGGAGGGCAAATGGACTGGATTCTGCAGGGGTGCTCTGAGAGTACCTCACAGAAACGGCTCTGCCCAAGAGGTGGCAGTGGGAGTGCCTTTCCTTGCTTCTAGGAATCGCATGTGTCAAATCACTAAGACATAATTCACAGGGTAAGGTACTTATACATAGAAAAGGAGAGGAGTTTGCCTACAGCTTTAGACTGAACTCTGAGTACAAGCCTAGTACACATCCCCACTGCACAGACAGGTACCTACACTCAGTGCTGAGCACTGCCCGTAGCCACGATGCCAGGGCAGAAAGATGTGCACAAATGACTCTTCCTCCTGTGCCTGCTCACCCCAGCAGTCCAGGCTGACTCCCCAGACTCTGCAAGGATCCCCAGTCCCTGCAGGCCACACCATCACAGACACCATTGTACAGAGCTATTCTTCACTAGAATGCAGAATGGGATTCAGGTCAGCAGCACCGCAAGGAGACAAAAGAGAGACTGTGCTCCAGTTCAATGTGTGTTCTCTCACTACTGGAAGAGCTTCAAGTTTAACTGAGGTTCTCACCAAAATGTTTTCAAGAGAGTCATAAAAAGCCCCTGACCCACGGCAGCCCAGCTTCCAGCCCTAGACCCAGCAGGTCTGCAACGTTGCTATGAGTTGTGCCCACCCTATCAAAGTGTGCGGGGACACACAGGAATAAGATGGCCCACAAAGCCAAATTCTACTACATTCATATGATTCATAGAAGACACCACCCAGTAACTTCCACATTTCGGACAATGGTAGAGAAAGAACTTGAGCAGTACAGAAGGCACAGAATGATGGCAAAGATGCTCCCTTCCCACTTTGGGACCAGGAGAATTACAGCCAGACACTTCTGAGCCAGAGTGAGGCCTGGTTTCTATGATGTAGTGGTTCATACACATCTACAGGGCACACGGGTTCTCTGACAAACTGATGAAACTCCTGAATTCTCATAACCTTCTCCTGATAAAACAGGCTTTTGGTCCTAATTCCAGAAAAATCCAGCAGCGCACCTGACACCCAGCCCCGGCTCCCCCTGCACAGCTCAGGGCTGCCTCTTCCCTGGGGCGTCACTCCTCCTCTGCCCCTGAATGCTGTAGCGGATCTGTGTGTCCACCCCACAGGCTCCATGTAAGTGAACTGAGATGATGCCTTCCTCCCTGACCCGGTCCACAGCTCATCTCTCCTGCTCCATCTCTGGCTCACCTGCATCTCTCCATTGAGAATCTTGTAAACTTCTTTGGAATTGATGAAATTCTGGTAGACTTTATGCTGCTCATCTGTAAGACGGCAAAATAAGACCTATTGGGGAAAGAAAAATAACTTTAAAAAAATTATTAGAATAAATTAAAACATCAATAAGGTTTCTGATCAAAAGTCTACAATACATGCAATTTAACAACATACCTCTTATTAAAACAACTAACACTGACAACATAGCCCAGGCCGGGCAGGGCGTTTCTCCACTACTGTGTCCAGCTACCTATGGGCCCTGCCCCGCGGCCCAGCAGCCCCTCCAGACTGGTTTCCTGATCACACACAAGCTCAGGACCAGGTGCACTTCAGCCTGTCATGCCCATCCACCCACCTGGAATGCCCCATCCCAGGGTTCACAAGTCACTAGACTTGTCTCTGAGGGCGAGCCCTGCCCCCAGTCCAACTGTGCCAAGTATCCAAGTATCCCATGCCACGTGTTTGCTAACTTTCTGCTTCTTGACACTCTTCTCTTTCTCCAACTTCATCCCTCTGCACTCATGTTCTTCCCCCCACAGTGCTTTCACTCATGGTCTGGGTCATCTTTCGAAAACATGAACCTGAGGGGTTTTTTTGGTACTGGGGATTGAACTCAGGACCTTGTGCTTTCAAGGCAGTTGGTGGAACCACTGAGCTAAATCTGAACCTGAGATTTAAAAATTCTTCATTTCTAAAATTCACACTCAGACCTTCAACTACAATGGCAACAGAAAAAAGGTTTTTCCCTTCAAGTACAAAGTTAACTGCATGAATTACTCACAGGTGCCTCTGCCTACAGATTCCTGAGGCAGCAGTTACAAGGGACCCTAAGATGGGTACACAATGACCAGACCTCTGGAATGTCTAGTCTAGGAGACAACCTGGCAGATCTTAGGACAGAACTTTCCTGTGTATGTGTGTGTGTGCGCTGTGTGCGTGCATGCATGTGTGTGATGGGTATGGGGTGAGGGTGGCAGAACAGGGGCATAGGATAGGAAAACAGAAGTGATGTGCCCAGGCCACAGCATGAAGGAACAGTTTGGGATTCCAGGGTGACAATGAGCTGATGCAAATAAGCGAGACAGCAATTTTAAGGAGGTGGTGAGCAGGGACGGAGAAGGTGTGCTGAGAGATGAGTCCAGCAACAGTCCACAATACTGAGTGGTGTAGGGTGTCTTGGTGGGAAGACCGCCAGACACCAATGACACTAGCTTCTGAGCAGAGTTGTAGACGTGAAACAGGCAGGCAAGAGTGAGAATGAAAACAGAGAGGCATCCAGGGTACTGGCTGATCTGGAACTACACAGCTCACCGGACCACAGCCTGAGGACCGAGCAGCAAGGGGAGGACCCTGGGAGGATGTGAAGATGATGGGCTTGATGTGGAGATGAGCATGGGCAGAAGGGAAAGGACACAATGAAAGCAGCCTTGACAACAGATGTGCAAGGTCATTTAGTTTCACCACTCAATCTACAATAGATTTGCTTGTGAGCACTGAGTAGATTACAGAACACCAGGATGGAAGTTAGAAGGATGATCTTTTTAACACCTATGTCTGATGACATCAGTCCTTTGCTCAGGATATTACCATGAATTTCTTCTTTGCAGAAGTAAAATGTAGTCTCCTCCAAGTCCAGTGGGCTCTCATGATCTGGCCTCTCCCCAAAACCGGACTTCCTCCTCTGCTGCTCTCCTTGCTTGGGGACTCAGCCACACTGGCTTCCCTGCTGCTTTGCAAGTGACCAACCCCACTACCCCAGTCTATTGCCTGAAAGCTCTTTCTCCAAAACCTGCATGATTTGCTCTTGAACCTTTTTCAGGTCTCTACTCAGAGGTGTCTCTAACCATCCTTTATACAAAGCCCACTTCCAAGCCAGTTATAGTGGCACATGCCTGTAATGCCAGCACTGAGAGGCTGAAGCAGGAGGAATGCAAACTCAAGCTCAGCTTGGGCAACATGGTGATTTGGTACACAGCTTAGTGCGAAAGTCCTAGTACAAAAACCAAAACCAAAACCAAAACCAAAAAACCCACTTGCACAAATCCTTGCCCTTAACACTCCCTATCCCTCTAACCCATTTCTTCATGTCTCTCCACATTTAACCATCTTATTTGTGACTTTCCCCCTCCAGAATGAATGTGAGCTCCTTGATGACAAAATCTGTTGTGCTCGCGGCTGAATCCCAGAGTTAGCAGCATGCCAGGCACATGGCTGGGATCTAATACACTATGTACCATGAAGTGGGAGGTGAGTGGAAATGCAGACATTTAAGAAGAGCAGCTGTAGGAATACATGTATTAACACAGGGAACTGAAGCCTAGAGGAAGAATCCCGCTGAAGACAGATGCCACAGCAGGGATGACCACCACACACAGATGTGTACAGAGCACCAGCCTGTGGGTCTGGTCAGTCAGTACTCACAAGAAAATCAGAGGGAAGGGGCAGGCAGGCATAGCTGTGTGTGTTTGAGCAAAGCCATGTATCTACAGACCTGTTCGTTTTTATCTGGCAAAGAAAGGCTCATCTTGACGTCTGACTTCATTCTCCGCAGCAGGTATGGGTTTATGGTGTCTCGTAAGACACATGCACATTTGTAAGCAGTTTTAACCTTTAAAGAAAGAAAAGGGAAGGAAATTATTGTATGCTTAAGAAATGTGTTTGTTCTTACCTCTCAATTGATACCACTGCTTAAAAGTAAAAAGAAGATAAATGATTGTATAAAACTGGCTAAAAATGGTTGGAAAATGGCTTGGGAAAACTCACATAAGTTCTGTATACTCCAAAGGATAGTAGCTTTCATAATAATACTATCAGTGCAAAAACTTATCTTACCAAAACGTATAACAACAACAAAAACCCTGATAATTTCGTGCATTATTATTCTTCTACACTTGCTTTAGTTATTGTTACACAGTTAGACTCTAACGTAGGGTCTTGACCAACCTCTAGCAACCGCTATACTGCAAGGCTGAAGATCAGAAGATCAAAAATGTGGGGAGGCAGTGGTGGTAGGCGCCACTAGCTCATCAGCAGAGATGACTGCCCACTGGAGACCACAGAGAGCAGCGTGAGAGAAGCCTGTGATCCCGAAATGAAAGGTCGCTTGGTCTGAGACAGGCCATTTAGCTCCATAATGACACAGGCACACGAGAGGCCAACCTTCCTGACTCAGCCTCCCAAGTAGCTAGGATTACAGGTATGTCCCACCATGTCTATTCCATTTCATTATTCTAGTAACCTCCACATCTTGCCTGTCCTGCCTACAAATGCCACATGGGTCTCTTGCTCCCACTCCTCCTCAGCCCACCACTCTCATCCCCAATAGCCCCACAGGTCCCTCACTGCCACCCTCCCTCCTATGACAGCCCTCTCAGCAACCTCTGAGAGCCATGTTCCAGCAGCCTGCTCAAAGCCTGTCCTGTTGCCCCAAGGACTTCTGCCTTCCTTCACCTGCCCACAGCCCCACCTCAATAGGCATCCCCATCCCAGTCCAGTGGGTCGCTCACTGCCCCACCACACAACATGGCTGTGCTCACACCTAACCCAGAAGGCCTCGCTCCTCACAGCCCGTTTTGCCAGAACCTGGCCACAGGACACATCTCATTCTGTCTTCCTGAACATGCCTTTCTTTTGCCTCTAGCTCCTGTATGAGATACACTGCCCAGGTCAACCTGAGCTGTGCACTGTCCACAATTCGCTTGCTTTTGCTCATAGTTTCTGATCATGTGATCATGTGTGACAGTCCTTTGTTCCTTATCTGACAGAAATGTCCCAGGAACAACTAACACCACAACTGTTTCATTTTTATACAAAGATAAGTTTTATTTTAGGGGTTTCCGCTGAGTAAATATTTCTTGTGATTTTTTAAAAATGTATCTGGACAAATACAATCTGTCAACAGAAACAATTTTCTGATTTTTATCAGACAGCAATTCATAAGCGTGATCATTCTCCTTACATTTTGAAGCAACTGACTACAACGTATTAAATGTAGTAGCAGGAACATTTTAAACACTGAAGCATCCCGTCACCTGCTGCCTGTTACCTGCACAGGAGAAGCATTGGCATATCCCCCCATGGTGATGGGGACAGAGAACTGCTCCATAAACACGGGCAAGGTGCCCAACTTTCCCGGGAAGACAAAGTCAAAGAGCGACCACAGCTCTCGGAGGTTATTCTGCATCGGCGAGCCTGACAAGATGATCCGGTGAGGTGTGCGGAACTATTTTGGGAAAGAAAGCACCTTTCTATTAAACTTGCCTTTCACAAATGACCACAGTCCCTACCTGGAAACACTCCTATGTAATGTTAATCAGCACACTGACTCAACATCTCAGCTCTTCGCCAGTGGTCCTCTCTAACATGCGGGCGCTTTAGTAATTACAATTCTCTCATTACATTCAGGTGAAAAGAGGGGAAATATTGTTTATCATTCAAGTTGAATATTAAAGATTAGAGCTGGATGTGGTAACATTCAAATTATCAACCCTTATAAGAGACATTTTGTAATGTGAGCAACCACAATTTTAAAAATATGATTATGGGCAAGCGTAAAGAATTTTCTGCATTGAGGCAAAATGTACATTTTTCAGCTCCTTACATAAAGCATAAGTAAAGACGCTGAATGACTTACTGAAACCAGAGCCTATTCCTAATTAAGCTCTGTTACCCACCTGGAAAGCCCCCGTGGGTCATACCTGCTTGCAAGCCAGGGTGACAGCAGCATTGGGGTTTCGAATTTTGTGTCCTTCATCCAAGATCACATAGTGCCAGTTCTGCCTGCTAAAGTCATCCTGCATCAGCCGAATGTAGGAGTAGGAGGTGATCAAAATGCCATGACAATGGGCAATGTCTCGAATCAGATTCTCCTAAAAGCATAATAAAATAATAAACTCAGTTTTAAATCAGAAATGAAATAAAACGGACATGAATAAAATGATACCCTTTGAATCATGGCACAACTGACAGCACTTCCTAAAAAAGTGCAAATATAAACATGATACACACAACTCTAATGTGTTATCGGCATGGGAAATACACTTTACATTTGTTTAATCTGTGAGGTTAAACCCTGAGACTCCCACTGTGGGGGGAGGGTCTCAAAAGAGGTAATAAATTATAAAATCAAACACTTCACTAATTTTTATTTTTCTAAAACATTTGTGCCCATCCTTGTTAAACTTAAAACAACTAAGTGGATGAAAGAGGATTATTTTAAAAGAGATGCAAGATAACCTAAGCAGACAAGGAAGATGAGTCCAGAAGTTCTTATAAGATATAACATAAATTCCAGGAGGCTTCAATGGAAAGGATATAAAAGCAATGACTTAAAAAAAAATGATCCAAACATTGAGGAAAGACTTGAGTCTACAGGGAAAAACATTCTAGCATGTCAGGCAAAAACTGAAGAAGACTTATCCCTAGGCATATCCTATAGGATGTCTGAATTCCAAAAATTGAAAAAGAAGAAAGAGGGAGACAGAGAAAGACAGAGAGAGAGAATGAAAGGAAGCAAGCAAGCAAGCCAGAGCTTCTAGTCAGAACAAAACAGAGAAAGGAAAGATTCCCTTCAGAGAAAATAATTCTGTCTGCACTGAACATCTTTCCTGTTACGCTAAAGATGTCAGCAGCTGTACATAATTCTGAGTGGGGGAAAGAATTCCAGGCCCTAAATGCTCTACCCATCCACACCAGCTGGCATTCTCAATGGGAAAAACAAACTCCAGCTTCAAACAAGAAGTTAGGAAACAAACCACTTGGAGGCTGCTCGCCAGAATGTGCACAGCACAGATGGAGGGACGTGCAGGGTGCGGGCCCTGCGCAAGACCCGGGCGGTGCTGTCCCCACACAGCTGTAACAGGTGGGCCCTGAGATCAGATGCAATCCTGTGCAAGGGCAGAGCCACCGCCACTCACCCCACTGTACAGACGAGCAAACTGTAGCTCAGATTCATAACCAGAGCACCAAGTCAGGGAGCCTGCAAGGGGAGGAGTCCAAATTCAGAGGCAGAAAGGAACCACGCCAAAGCTACAACTGCTAAGTCTCAGGCCACATTCCTCTCACTGCACCACGAAGGCTCAGACAGGGAAAATTGTATGTGCAATATACTGGCTCTTAAAATACACCATTCAAACATAACCATCAGGTCTAAATATTAGACACTTCTCAACAAGAATGAAACCATAAAGAAACAACCCAAAATATAAAAAGGGACGTATTTTTAAGTGCCTTTGTAATTCCTAATCTGGACTAAAATTAGTGGAAAATAAAAGTGTAGTAAAAACTCCACCCTGTCCAAGGGTAGGATAGGGCCCAGGTAATAGATACTGCCTAATTCTTAACTGTGTGAGAAAAATAGATTAAAATACCTCTGTCAAGAATTTAAGTCTATTATTGATTAATAGTTGTTAGATCCATATATATACCAGAAAAGAAACAATGTACAACTATAGGGAAAAAATAACAGATATGAGTAAAAGTCAAGGAAAGAGAAAACGGGAAACAGCAAACACAGTGGCAGGTTTCAGACTAAAGGTCCTCGGAGGGCACTGCAGGACTGTGAGTTCCCAGCACCGAGACCTCCAGGGCAGGGGTTGGGGGTGGGGTATAGTCTGGCCTTGTGCTGAAAGGAGAGGCAACACGGCCAGCATGAAGTTGAAATGTGGGGATTAACGAAGCTACACAAGGAAATAGAAAGTAAAAAGGCAGGATTAGCAACACAGTATCAGTATCAGACAACAGAAAGGAATAAAGAGGATACTGTATACTGTCAAGGGGAAGATATACCAACAGGGAAGAGCCACGAACCTCTACCTGCCTTAAAGCACAAGACAGAAGCGAGTCCCTGAAATGCTGCCTGGACAGAGGGACACATCATAGGCCCCCAGAGACCTGACCACTGCATTTTGTACAGATAGAGTAAGGTTAACAGGACAAAAAGTTACAGCAGTGGGATGCAAATGACTTGGGCATCAGCACAGGCCCAGACTGTACGAATACTCATTCCTTACAAAGACGCCATTCAGAAAGGCTGAAATCACGACCTGCGGCCAGCTCAATGGGCTAAAGATGGAAAACGACAAAATTGACGAGAAAAAAACAATAATTAGTAAATCTTAAAAAATCCGGTAGAACTAATAAAAATAAAAAATATTTCTTTGAAAGATGAAAACCAACCTTTGAGAAGTCCAAAGAACACATGTACAGCTTTAGAAATGTCAAGAAACACAGTCATGGAGGTAGAGGACGCAGTTCGGCATGCTAATCAGCACAGCACATCAAACAACTGGAACACTGACAAGACAGGAGTTACAACATCCATCACCCAAGTGGAGATGGACCCAAGGAAAACCAGCCCGGCCCTGAGGAACTTGAACATGCTGTGCTCCTACATCCGTGAGTCCACCATAACTGAAGGCTTCCCAGCAATGCAGGAAGAGGACCAGGGATCCAAACTGCTCTCACATGCAGAAGGAGACAAGAGTATACCCCAGATCAATGGGCCATGGCCAGCAAACCCAGGGTTCAAAGCCACAGATGTGCACATACACCCTCAACAGAGGGCAGTTACTTTATAGATAAGAACTACCAATATGCTGATGCAAAGATGTCGAACCTATGACACATGTGCTGCAGCGGGCATGCAGAGTCCTCTCTGTCGGCACACAAGCCCAATCGCCCCAGCAGCTGAGCACTGGATTTTCAGGTTTAGTTGCCATGTTGGCACTTTGTGATCAATAAGTGGGTTTGGGGTTGCAGTTCGGGTACTGGGTCTCTAAAAGGTCCTCCAACAGTGCTCTAACCCAATAAGGCTTATCGCAGGACTATAAGAACAGCTAAATATCAAGAAGCCTAAAAGAATCATGGAATCACACCCATCTCATATAAATTGTTGTACAGAATTCAAAATCATCAAAAAAAATGACAATTTTGTTAATACCTTAAAACAACCAGAATTAAAATGTTTTAATTCTGCAGAGCATAAAAGAGTACAAATAGGGTGGAGACAAATTTTGAAGGAGCAGAATTCAGTGGGGAGGGGAATGGACTGTCTTCTCATGTGTCACAATACACTGGACATTCCAGGAGCAAATGAAGTTGCTTCACAGACTGACCTCAATACCTGGGACATGCTGAAGGGCCAGGGCCAACAGGTGAGAGCAGCACTGTCACTGTGACTGCTCTCACGTGCACAATACCACACTGAAGGCCACGCCTGATGTGACCCTTCCCTGACCTGACCTTCCGACAACTACAGCAGTCCACACTGGGCCACAGAGCCTTGCGAACCTGTACCTCCCCTGACTACATGCTGCTCCTTGGCTGCTGGTGCCCAGTGTAAAAATGTACTGCTCAGACCAGCAGGCACCACTCCAGTACCTCCCCGGCCAGGCCTGCAACTCTGACAAGCCAGAGCTGATTTCTATAGCACCTCCACATCTGAATTTTCTACAGAGATTCTAGGCAGCAGTTCCTGACTCTGTCCCCATGCTCCCCTCCAGAAAAGCAGGGCTGCCAGAAGCCATGGCAGCAGGTAAGGCAGGAGGTGGCAGCAAGTGAGCCACAAGGCTGTTCCACACCCAGGTCCACTCCAAGTGTGAGCTGTGCACACAGGGGCAGGGAGAAGACAGCGACTACAGCTACCTAGGCTTGAAAAAAGTTAAATCACCATCCACATTTATAAAATGTCCACTGTGCACAGCCAAATACTGCAAATGCAGCTTCACTTGCTCAGGAACTCCATAACTTGGAGCCCCTGAACGCACAGCCTTGTTGTGGTCACCCCGTTAGCCTCAAGGACATACCCAGAAGTGTGTCTGGATGTCATCTGTGCAGATGGGTGCATCACCAAAGATACACAGGACGCCAAGCTCAAACATATACTACTGGAGCAACATGTAGCTTCTTCAGCTTGCTTAAAGATCAAAGTTTATCTGGAATATTCTGTAATATTAGCTATAGAAATTATAAAATTCTTACTGTGTTCAGAAAGATGTACAATGATTCACAAGAATTTAGAAGATGATTTTATAGAAAGAATAGGTTGTGCAAAATGTTCCTACTGAAAATATAATCTCCACTTAGCCACTGGGTACCAACACATCCAAGACTATTTGTCTTCACCCGATTCAATCTCAGGATTCTGTGACTGCCTAGACTGGAGTTTCAATAATGGTGAGTTGTTGAATATTATAGACGTCTCTATCCAAACACTTAAGACAAATCATCTCAGGCGGTTTCAAATTAAAAGCTTGTAAAATATGTAACCTCTCCTAGTTTTTGCAATTAATAGGGTACATCTGCAATTAGCCTGACTTACTGAATGCAGGGCTGTTGTCATTAAAGGATGTCTGTGGAAGTGCTGCTGTTATTATGGAGGCTCAGGAGACCAATCCCTCCTAGAGGGCAAACAGTGGACTGGTAGAAAACAACAGCCATAAATCACACTGTCAGGCGTGGGGAGCGGGTGAAGCACAGGCACATGAAGGCCATTCACAGCAAACACAGCCCAGCTTCCCAGGCAGGATTTACTGCACCTGTAATTAATTAAAATTTCCTTCAAGCTAAATCTTTAATAAACAAGGATTTATGCTGACAATGAAGAAAAAAAGGACTCCAGCAACACAATTCTACAATATATCTCTGAGAACAAGCCGAGTATCTATCATTTCTTCTATCAGATGTGTACACCAACTCTAAAGCTAATAGGAACTGCACTATCTTGGGTTGTAATTGTGTACTTGGAATGGGTCTGAAATACAGTGGACACTTGAGGGACTGCGTGGCTCCCCTTCAACTTTTGTTTTTACTTGACCAGCTTTTAGCTTTTTAAAAGGCCAAACTCTTTCTGGTCTAGTATCTCAGAAAACAGACCTTTTTAAAGAGCACACGATGGACATCAGAGGGCCAAGTTTCTGTATGGTTTGCTTTTTAGCCATACCCTGCACTCCCCACAAAAAACTTTAACATCTATTTCATTTTTTCCTTTTGGGAACAAATGTATCTGGACATAAGAAAAGCAGAATAACCATGAACATGTCTGATAAAGCAGGGGTGAACTTCCTATCGAGCCTGTACACTGAACCTGGCAGCAATGCCTCTCTCGGCATTTTCTCCATTTCTGAGATGAAGAAGCCTGTGTGCTTCATTTCTAAAAAAAGGAACACTTGAGTAACTTAGGTATCGGGGCCATATTAATCTCTCCGTGCACACACATTTATTCAATAAACCCTCCCAAAATTATCAGAAAATGCCCATTTCACAGGTCATCAAGCCAAGCTCTGAGAAACAAAGTTACTTGCCTGACGTCTTACAAGTTACACAATGGGAGATCTGAGACTCACACCCTGGAGTACTAACTACAAAACCTATGCCCTTAAAACTTAATGCCATGGTTGCTTTTGTCTCTCTTATGCCTCTAAATGTCATGAGTTGAACAAAATGAGACAAAGTTCTTTGGATTCTCTAAAATAGTCCACAGAATCATTGGATCCAAAAAGATAGGAGAGATTAAGGACAGCCAGGTCAGCATAGAAGCAACTTAGCATTGTACCTCTTCTGGCACAATGAGAAAGGGTTCTTAGTCATTACATAAGCTTTATGACACAGTGCTAATGATGCCACCACCCACTGTGAGACATGGGACAAGCATCCAAGACTGCCTCCTTTCATTATCTTTTCATGTATTTTTCTTCCCCAAGAAAACAGTTGGCTTTTCAAGATCAGTTAAAACCATCATATTCATTTTTTTGCGACCTAACAATATCAAACATCTGGAGCTGGGCGTGGTGGTACACACCTGTAATCCCAGCACTCAGGAGGCTGAGGCAGGAGGATCGCCTCGAGTTCGAGGTCAGCCTGGGCTACATAGTGAGCTCAGGGCCAGCCTGAACTACAAAGAAAGACCCTGTCTCAAAAAACAAACAAAAAAATCAAACATCTGGAATATAGTGTTTATAGTTGTTCAACAAATACTAATCAACTCACCTAAAGTTTTTCTGTTAAAAAAAAAAGATCACAAATTACAATGAGAAATTTTAAAAACTTAAGATCCTATTAAATGAGATTTCCACTGGCCACTAAAAGAGGTTTTGAAAATTTCTTTACCAGACTTGATCATGTGAAACTATTATTAGATACATAGTTTTTTGCATGGTTGCTGAGTGTGCATCTGACAATTCTAAATTATGCTGCCAATCAAAGAGCTTATTAACAAAGATAATCTAGTATTAAATGGTAAAAGGGGAAGCTAAAATGCAATTGGGGGAAGAAGAATGATAGATGTGCACTATTTTAGAAACTGATCATATGACATCCGCTTTCTAAATGAAAAATTTTTGAAATTTTATGTCTGACCAACTACAACAAAGCATTAGGAAAATAAAGATACTCCATTTGAATGAGAGGGAAAACAATAGCTATTGTTACTCTTTTAAATGTTTCTAGATAAATTTCTCATTCCTGTTTTGTCCAATACCAAATGTCCCTAATGCCAGAGTGCCACACTAAATTAAGACAGAACAGCACTGGGCATGGAAAGCTCACCTGTGGAAAAAGAAATCACAGCTGATAAGGGAGGAAAAGAAGCTTGGAATTAGATGCTGGCCTACAGAACAAACCAGCATTGACAGACTATCTGAAACATGAATAAGAAACATAGACTCTATGCACTCTACCAATAGATTTGTAAGCTGTGTGTGAGATGATGATAAAGATCTGTACATACAGATACATCACCTCCAGAAATATAAACTGATACTAACATTAACAGTAAATAATACAGTGATCTGGTCTCTTAGTCAACAATATAGTTTGAAAGACACAAATGCACATCTTTTCAACCTTTCGTATAACATCTTACATCTACAGAGATCTGAGATACTTTATCATGGGAAAAGAGCAGTAGGGAGTTAAGCATCAGAGTAAAAACACAAAGAAATGGTAATGATGCTTTTCCTTAGCAGTAAAAAATTCCAAGTTAACGCCCTAGGTAACCTGGAAGGCACTGAAAAACTGACAAGCAACTGTGGAACCACTGTCACCCAAAGTGAAATGCCTACTCCTTCAAGCTTTGCCCTCCAAAGAGGGAAGCAAGTGCTATCACCATACTCCAAGTTGCATCTCTGCGCTAGGGGTTGTTGTGTGCGGTTTATAGGAAGGTGCTCTTCAGCTTCTACCTGCAGCAGGACCACAGCCAGGTACCATCCAGGGAATGTGGGAAATACCTGGGAAATACACGTGCTTCACTAACCCAAAAGGAAATTAAACGATAAAAAGGGACATAGGAAAAAACCTGCCTTCATAAGACAAATATCCACTCATGAATCCAGGATTTTATAATGCAAAACTTTAAGAGCTGTCAATAGATAATGGAAATGAAAACAGAATCAGAAAAGTTTCACATGGTTGAGGAGGGGATACTTTCAGCAATTTATAGTTTGACTAGAAACAACCGAAACTGCTATTATTTTTGTACAGGTAAAAACTACTTTCCTTTAAATCACAGCATTCACCCTACTTCATTAATTCTCTTGTTTTCTACTTACCTTTTAAAATTCTGGGCAGTTAGTTGGTCTTAACAATAAGAGCTAGTACAAGCAAGATTCCATCTCGCCTTATTTGTGTTACCAAACTATCGATATTCCTGATTCAGAAACTCTGAATCTATCAGAAACTCTGCTGACCCATGATCATGAACATATGGGAATCTGAAAGGCAGACAGGCATAGTTCACAGACTCCGGAGCTGAGCGGCTCCCAAGACCTCTCACTCAGGTGAACTTTCCACGGTCCCTACAGTGGCTGCTGCATCCTGGGGCTCAGGAGAGCTCACCTGAGAGCTCAGAAGACCCAGGAAAGAAAGAATAAACTCACAGCAAACTACTACCTCTTGTCAGCAACAGAACCTGCAATTGTGGTGAAGCTGTGTAAATGTTATTTATTCAGCAAATGCTTGGGGGGCACTTGGGACACAGACACTGGGCCTGCTCTACACAGTGCGGTCTATGTTGCTGAGACAGATGAGAAGAAACACGTAACATACCTATCTATGGTGCTCACAAGAGCAAAGACAAATGTTCTTTTTGACAATGGCTACTAACCAAACTAGGAATAAGGGAGGAAAAACTTTCAACACATGATGATCTAGGATTCAGGAGCAAAACACAACATAACTGAAAAGCAGTAAGACTTGTAAAATTCTCAAAATAGCAAGTTTTTTCTTCCATTCATCAAGAACATGATTTAAAGTTATTAACAAATGCATTTATCAGGTAAGTGCTCTTTATATCTGAAATGCTTGAAGAAGTGCTTCAGAGTTTGGATTTTCCCATGTCTAAAGACGTGCCCTGATATCCTAGGGCTGGGACCCAGGTCTAAAAATGAAGTTCATTTATGGTTTATAATCCTGTGTTTCAACTGTGACTTATCACATGAGGTCAGATGTGGGTTTACTGGGTATGTGTTGTGTCAGTGTTCGAAAAGTTTCAGATTGGGGCTGGGGATTTAGCTCAGTGGTTCCGGCATCTGCCTTGCAAGCGCGAGGTCCCAACTTCGATCCCCAGTACCAAAAAAAAAAGTTCTAGATTGGGGAGCATTTCAGATTTTGGGTTAGGGATGTTCAACCCACAAATTACTTTTGTATCCACTTTCCTACAGCTGCTTCAAGCTGCTGATGCCCATAGTCCCTCCAGTTAACTGTCATAGAAGCTACCAGATTTGTGATCCTACACACAGGCTTGTGGTACCCTGTCCGTGTTCAGCTGTGACTTGCTAGACAACAAATATGTCACAGTGCCATCAGAAACTGTTAGAACAATAGGGCTAGTGTGTAATTGTGAAGATACAGAGCTCTAAATCAAGTCAATTATTATAAAACAAGTTTAAATGCATAAAATGAAACTTGGGAATATCCAGTACATGGTTCAAAGAAAAAGCAAACATGTAAAATGAAGGTCTTTAAACAAAACACATGTGAAGTACTAAAGCATCACACTGTTACCTTTCTGTGGGTACAGGAGCCAGTTTCATGCAGAATCGCCACTCTGAAGGAAGGCCACCACGTGTGAAACTCCTTCACCCACTGATGCATCACTGTTGTTGGGCAGACAATAATAGTGGGGCCCAGTCCCTCGAACCTGCACCAAAATGTCCAGGAAGAAAACACAACCATGAAAGATCCCATATCAGGTGATCAGCTGCCAAAAACAAAAAACAAAAACTCTCAACAGTTCAAAAAAGAAAATACAACCTATGAGAACTGACTGCTATTTTTATTTTCATTAACAAAGAAGCTATTGAGGTTAAAACCTAGTAAGTAAAATCTTTATGAGTCCAATTACTGGATGCAGAAATTAAGAGAAAAAAACCAAATAATACATTAAACATTCTATAGCAAAGAAAAAAATCAAACAAATACATATATAACAAATTCTTTCCTCTCCCTGCTATTCCAGATTAATGATGTTATTATATGGTATATCTTAAGTGAACAAAACATCTTAAACTTGCCTGAAGCTCTATGGCAGTGATGGCAAACCTTGCAGAGCTTTCAAGGATAATAGCACACCACAATGTAAGTCTCATAGGTTTGCCACCACTGCTCTATGGTCTTACCAGGAGTTTTCAACCCACAGAATTTCAGCTCATCCCCACTGTCCTAGAAAGCAAGTAGACACAGTCCCATGTTCAGGGGCTCAGAGGCTGGTGTGCCAAGGTGACATGGTCCCCAGGAGACAGAGCACTGCTGAGAAAGGGGTCTGGTGCTTGTGCGGTCTCCTTCCCCTTGACAACATGGTGGGGTAATGTCAGTGGCTTTCGAGCCCACAAGGATGGTATGTGAAAGCAGCTGAGCAGATCAAGCAGGAGCAATCATCGGGGACCTGGCACCCCAGGACAGGTGCTTATGCACAGGACACACTGCAATGTCCAGACATAGCAACGGCTGAACAAGCTCCCACGTCTCAGTACAGCACAGGCCAGTAGTTAGCACAGCCTGGGTCTGAATCCCGGTTCTGCACACACCAACTGTGGGCTTTTGGACCCATTATCTGACCTCTCTGGACCTGTTTCTCACCTTCAGTTTACAGTACTGACCTTATGGGGTAACTAGAACACTAAATTACTGAACACTGTGATACAGTAAATATGAAGAGTTCATTAAGGTGGAATATCCTGTAACCATTAACATTGTTTTGAAGAATACACTGGGAAAAAAAATCACAGTAAATTTTTAAAAGCAAAATTCTTTATGGAATCACCTCAATTCCCTGACACACAGGTGGCCACTGTATGAACAACCTTCTCCTCTGTCCTTCCCAGTAGAGCCCCAGTGTGCACAACAGCCACTGCACACACAAGCACACACCATCCCCCAACACAGGGCCCAAGCACCAGTGTGGCCCTAAGCCTATCAGAGCACAGCATGCTAGTCCACAATACCAGACAGTGGGACTGACCAACCAGGAAGGAAGCTCTCACACTCCAGGCTGGGGGACTTTTTTCTCTTGTTCCCTCCTGTTGCATACAGCCCAACAGCCAAGGATCAGGACAAGTCAGGGCTAAAGACGAAGATGAAGGACAAGTCAAAACCAACTATACAACTCACCAACACAAGCTCACACTACAAGAGGCAGCTGAGAACCGAGGCCAAGAGGCCCTGCAGGCCACCTGGCTCCCTGCCTTTTAGGACAGCTAGCACCAATACTTCAAAGCGTCCTTCTCCTTCCCTCCCACCTCCAGCCAACAAGGAGGATGAGTTCATGAGACGAAGCACATGTGAATTACTTCTCCTGCCATCTCACTGATCCCCAGTTTCAACTCTCTGTGAACACCTGGGATGCTAAATCTGAGCACAGCCAGATCTTCCTGAACCCCAAGCTTCCCTCCCTGCACATCTCAGTGCTGATGCGGATGTGCCCTGGGCAGCACATGTTACCCACACTGACTTGCTTCCCAACCCAGTGACAGAAGCATCACCACTCTCTGGGGCCCAAACTGAGGTCCAGGCCTTGCCCTGTGATCAGCCCTCCTGCTTTCCCCTGGGAACAACCTGCACCAAACTCCCATGGCTTCCACTTCCTCAGTCCCTCTCCAAGCCACTGGACCCTCCTTTGACACTATCTCTCCTCCAGTTCTAACTCTCATCTTTGTCATGGCACCTTCTAGCACAATCATCTCTGAGAGAAAACTGATGTCACATCTCCTCACTAAGACCTCCACTGGATGCCCACAGCTCTTGGCCTGGCCTGTGAGGCCTGGAGTTTCTGACCTCTGCCCCTCCTACTGCCACCCTCAGCACTTGCCATAGCCAGAACCGAGCCAGCTGGAGTGGTCCTCAGTTCCCACGAGGTACACGGTCCTCTGAGTCTAGCTGTCACTTTCTCCATACCTCTCCCCCTCCCAGATGCCACTGATTCATCCTCCAGACCACAGCTTCCAGGAGTCCTCCCTCAGTGCACCCAGGCCAGTCAGGATCCCACACTGTCACCCCTCCTAGCTACTTCTGAGCACAGCAGGTAAGAAATGAGTATTATTATGTGGAAACATTTTTTTAAAGGTTGGGTTAAAATATATCAAACTGTTCAAAGAAATTATTCTGAGTTTGGGGATCATGTGTGATTTTTTTATTTCCTGCTATAGCTCAATAAATCACTCCTGAACTTTGAGATTTTATGTATACAGAGTAAATCAGACAGTGCTTAAACTTAAATCATCTGCTATGCAAAGGAAAATTAACTGGTAGTTCCAACAGAAAAACATGGAGGCTTTGACAAAGCCCTAAGTGAAAGGAGGCTCATCCTTACACTCCAGTATGACAAGATGTCTCTGTCCACCATCAAATCGTCCCATCTTCTGCTACGTGGGCGCAGCCCCTGGCCCTTGGCTGTGGAGCAAGGGTGGGACCGGAAGAAGCCAGCAGCCACAACAGATTCAACAATTCCTACAGATGTCCAAGTCAAGAGGATCTCCCAGGCAGGGGCCCTCAGCTCCGCAAGGAGAGGCGTACTCTGCTCTGCTCCCTGGCCCTTTCCATGATGGCATTCCTTTTTAAAAGGATTAAATGCACCAGCTTCTTTACATCCTCCAAGGGTAATACAAGGCAGTTATCAATATTCACTTAGCAAGGATTAGGGGGAACAACCAATCAAAAACCATCTAAAATATTTAAAAATCAAGACATTCAGATAAGCAAGAATTCATCATATACCTTTTCAGGTTGCACCACTTACTCTCTTGCTGTCTCTGCTTCTCTCTACCTTCTGCAAGCTGTGTAATTGGTGACTCACTTTGTCATTTAAGGCTACTATTTTCTTGTGGCTGCACATCTATCTGGTATTATTATGCCCTTTAATTTCTGCTATTCTCCCTCTGTTAGAAGCACAGGGAAGTTTTCACACTGAGTTGAAATCTCAGAGCAAGACAGATTGTTCCTGGACCACAGAAGGGGCAATCAAACCCATTAACAGTCACATCAACTGAACCACTCTTTTCAAACCTCAATACCAGTGAGATAAGCCTAAGAAATGGCTAAATGTACTAGAGTGATTAGCATCAATTACCAAACAGACTCCAGTTCCTTTCATCTTTGATAATCATTGATTACCTAAGGAATTTAGGACATACCAGTAGCTCCACGGCCAAATACTTAAACCTGCAGGTGGAAACCAGCTGGTTGCAGCCTAGAAGCTTAACAGGAATTGAAAAGCATATTTACCATCGAAAGCTTATTAACTTTTTCAGAATATTTATTCTTAAATTGAAATTAAATTGATAACCAATACACTAAAGTACTAACTGGAATTTTTAAGATAAATAATTCATTTCCCCACATCATAAACTTCATGGGGCTCATTATTATAATAATGGCAAAGTAAAAGAAGGCAAGATATTCGTTATGAACTGGGAACACAACAACCAGTATAGATTTTTAAATTAATTTTGTGTAAAATGCTTCTCTCCTGAAAATAAACAGGCCTACCACACCCATTAAAAACAAAAACAGTAAACCAAATTTCCCCAGTACTGGGTATTGGAACCAGGGCCTCATGCATGGTAGGAAAGCACTCTATCACTAGCGACATTGAGACAGTCTTGCAAAGCTGTCTGGGCTGGCCTTAAACTTGTGATCTTCCTTCCTTATCCCCCCAAGCAGCTGGGAATACAGGTTGTGTGCCACCATGCTTGTCTGTAAACCAAACTTCTTATACCATGAAGTTTCTTGGTATCACAGAAACTTACACTGTATGTTCATGGACCTTAAGACTGCAACACTATAAGACCATAACAAATTAAAGCCCCAACATCTATGGCACACAACCATTCAGAGGAAAAGTTCACAGCCAAGGAGGCAATGCCAGTTCACAAAGACTAGATCTGATTTCAAGGGATATTTTTCTAGGTCACCTTTTTTTTTTTGGTACCGGGGATCGAACTCAGGACCTTGTGCTTGCGAGGCAGGCGGCAGAACCACTGAGCTAAATCCCCGGCCCAAGGGGTATTTTTCTTTAGGACATAAACACTGAACGGAAGTCCAAGTTCACCTGGCTCCAGACTGTTAGGAAAGTGTTACTCAGTTTGCCGGGCCACATTAAGTAGAGGGAATCAAGCTCCTCAGTACACCTCTGTTCCTAAAGATCCTAGTTGTTCGGCTGATACATCACCATACTCTCAGAAGCCACTTCTACCAGTGCCATTTTTATAAAGATAATCTGGGCACTAGTCCAATGTCCCACACTACTTCATTACGGAAAAGAGGATATGAGCATTGATAGTTAACTGATTACAGCTGATGCTCATTCTCAGCCCTGACTCTGCTCCTAGTAGGATTGTCACTACTCAAGAGAGCATGTTTTAATTTTTAGATCACTGCATTGCAGGGATGACTTCAGGTTTCTTCGGCCCAGAGTATTAGACACCATGCAAGTTTCTTGCTAACAGGAAGGGAAGAGAAAAAAGAGGTAGGAATGAGAAAATCCAAGAAATCATTTAAGGAAAGACAAGTCCTAGAAACCATCTGGGGCAGCCTACTTAACAAAAAACCTGAAAAAAACATTGCTAGGTTGCATTAAAAAAAAAAAAAAAAGTGTCATGGAGACCAAGCCTACCAAAGAGCTTAACATTTTTTCAAATACTAAACTAATGACATTCATAGATAAGAACACCCTAAATGCTCATTTTTCAACTTTGACTTTTGCCTTGGGCTAGAATGTTTTCACATATTTCCAGGCAAAATGTAAGACAACTTTAATATTTGAAGAGAATTCTCTGCTTCAGTACAACATTTTTGTAACAACAACAACAACAAAATATTTAGCATTTAAAAATCTCAATGTTTTTTCCCACTCCTACATTTATATAAATGCACCTGAGACTTTGGAAATATTTAAAAACTCCAATACTCCTCATGATCTGCTAAGTGAATAAAAGAGTAAGAAACAAAAGCAAAGCACTAAACTCTGAAGACCAAAACTAATGGTCATTATTCAATAATTTTCCGTGCTATGTGGCTCTGTACTAAACATCTCTGTTGACCCCTGAGTGTGGGATAGTAACTTTCTTAGTCACTGACTTGAGGCACACGGGCTCTCATCTACAGGCCTCTCCAGATCCTATGCAGTAATGGTGAACCTTTTAGAGCTTTCAATGATACAAAGAGCCCATTGTGGTACACAGGCCATAGGTTCACTACCACTGCCCTATGCAGTGAGTGCCCAAGGTTCCCAGGACGCAGCTGTCTAGTAACTACCTTGCTGTCACCCATAGGATAAGCCTGCTGAAACATGAAAAGGTCTTAGATTGTCTGGGCTCAAGATGAAACATCCTACATAATTTACCTAAAAATATTTCTACCAATACTGGTTTCTATAAAACCAATGTATAGCTTAAAAATGGAAATGCTCAAGGTTCTTTATTTCATGGTCAAGTATTTCAGTGCTACCATATGCAACAGTCTTGATAGTCACTCTTTGAATTGACTAAAGCCTTAACAATTTTTTAAACTTCTATAGAAAGTAAGAATTAACATCTAAACATAGTTTTCTATCATTTTAGACAGTTATTTAGGCTTCAGCCTCAGAATGTATATAAAAGTTGTAAAGACTCGGAAGCTGAAGGCATAGTTAGCAGAGAAGTAACTTCATTCAAAAAAAAAAGCATCCCGAGTGCTCTCTGCAAATGCTGTCACGCACTCTGACTATGAAGGAAATTAGGCAGAATGGCTTCTTCAAAGCTCCAACTTTCCCCCGAATACACTTTGTTCTTACTGTAATGCTCACCTGGTCTCCTGCCAGAACAAATATTTTAATGTAAAATTTAATAAATGAAACTAAAGGTATTATGTCTAATTTAAAATTCCATATTGTGTAAACTATTGATATTAACATAATTGAGTATGTAAACAATCCATTTGCAAGAGCTAACCTTAGACATTGTATTGACCCAAAATATCTAGTGGGGCTCATCTGCAAAATGAAGCATTGATGCCTGGAATTCATTAAAAGTGTTACATGTTTAATTTCTCCTGCCCTACAGCTCCATTGTCTCGTAAAATTTTTCCTTTGATGTCCCCCACTAAAAGAATTAAAGGAATATTGTAATTGAAATGTCATCAATAATTCACAAGACCCTCCTCCACAGCAATACATCTGATGAAATATTAATTGAGCTCCACAGACTGACAGTCTGCAGAGGAGCACTTGCCTGTAATTTGAACCACGAGTCCTGATCTTGCTGTAGCTCAGACCTGCCAAGAAGGCAATTATCTGGATGGTCTTGCCCAATCCCATCTCGTCTCCCAGAATTCCTCCTGCCTGCTGGCAGTGCAATTCCCACAGCCACCTAACACCTGTCTGCTGGTACCTACAACAACAAACACCAACAAGAAAAGAGAAAATGGCAAATGGTGGATAATACAGATCGTAACGAAAGCACTCATGAATTAATCATTTGGCTAAGTTCTAGTACCAATCAGAAAAACGTGCCGGATGTGTGTTTTACATGGGTATTATATTTATAAGGTCATACATTTTTGATCACCTAGGCATAAAGTTACAAATTTTTCTTTACAGAACGTTAACACATTTCTAATTAAACTGATAGATGGGGTAATTAGGGACTATTTCATTTCTTTTTCAACATTAGAAATAGCATGGTAAACAAACATAAACTTATTATCTTTTATTCACTCTCTTTCTGGGAAAAAATTCCAAATATTTTTACTATATAGAATTCCGTAATTTTTTCTACAAAAAAAGACGCAATATATGTATTTTATTCAATCTTAGCATTAAGAAGGCAAAGCAGAACACAATTTATAGCTTATACTGTTGTCACTTAGTAATCAGATTATCTTGTTATAGGAAAAATTAAATTTTAAGGCTATAAACAAGTCTGAAGGGCTGCTCTCTAAATTAGCACATAAAAGACAATTCTGTCATATTACTAGCAGATGTAAAAAGGAAAAAAGACTCAACAATACAAAAAGGTCTTTTTAATATTTTAAAGCAGAAATTGATTCAGGGATTTTATCATTGGTACAAAAGGATCGGAGCTATTAAAATTTTAAATAAGGAATACTGGTCAAAGAGAAATAAAATAATGTATCTCCTCCTCAAAAAAAATAGGAATGGTATTTTCATTTCTCTATCAACTGCACATTCAATCTATAAATCTAAAAGCGAAGGTTTTTTTTAAAAAAAGAAATAATGCAAAAACATTTCTGACAGTGAAAGATTTAATATTATAGAATGATATAAAGATTACATGCAATACTAAAAACTTAAAGCAAAACAAGTTAAAAGATGATACAAGCTAAAGGATCACCCTCCCCCAGAAGACACCAACAGTAATGTGCCCCCCACTGTCAAGAAAGGTGGGTATATTACTGCTCTTTTAATGACCAAAAATTTACTATTTGGTATCTGGTATGTCTACATAAAACCTCACTTTGGACCTCAGCTCTTGCTGAGCTAGTTTCTCTTAGTAAATATGTCATAATTAACTTTACCCTTGTGTTTTGCAAATCAATTCTTTAAGTTTGATTCTAGTGTTGCCATTATTACCTATAAGGAAAACTGAGAATTTTGCTGCTTATTTAAGTTTGCTAATTGTAATTATACACTGGAGATGCACTCTGGAGAAAAGGACTAGAAATCAAAACACTGCAAAGCCTAGTATGGATATAAGAGCACTTAATTTGGGAAGGACAAGTCTCACAAATATATGGAATGTAATCAAGAATAATGGCTACCATTTAAGCCCACTGATGGGAGGCACTAGGCCAGGTGGTTTGGACACAGCCTCCCAACCAACCTGCAGAGGCAGTGATCAGCACATTTTACAGCTACAGAGCAAATGCTCACATGGTTAAATAGCTCACCCGAGGTCACAGTGCCAGCAAAACTGAGCAGACTGGAGCTGAAATCCAGACTGCATGATTCCAGTGATTCTTTTCTGGAAAAAACCTAGACCAGAAATTCTCACTGGGTAATTTGCTCCCATAGGACAATCTGGCAATGTCCAGGGACAGTTTCATTAACACTTGGGAAGCATTAGTGGGATCCAGACGGCTGAGGGCAGCTGAGCTGTCCGAACTCTACAATGAACAGGACAAACAGCAACAAATTATGGGGCCCCAAGTCTCAATTATGCCAAGGTTTTAGAAAAACTCTAATCTGAAACAGAAGCTGGTTTGTGAACCAGTTACCCTGAAATTATCTCAACTTCTGAAAAAGACATAGTCCAAAACACCTGCCCAAAACTGACATGCACTCAGTTTCCAAATCACTGCAATGGACCTTTTCTTTCTTTCTTTTTTTTTTTCTACGGTACGGGGATCAAACTCAGGACCTTGCACTTGCGAGGCAGGCAGCAGAACCACTGAGCCAAATCCCGGCCAATGGACCTTTTCTTAGGAACTACAGAACTACAGGAGCAACTCTTCAGGGACCAGAACCTCCTCTGATCACCCTCACTCCTACCACCGCACCACACAGCACCACCTCCACCCAACAAGGCCAACACCTCTCTGTTTGAGGCCCAAACTTAATTAAGGTGGGAAGAATTTGGAAAGCAGCAATTAGGAAACTGTGAAAGGAACTACAACCAGTATGGTTTCCAAGGAGACTGGGATACTGGGAGCTAGGACACGGGACTCCATGTGACCCTGGAAAAGCAGTATAGTGTGCTAAATGTTACCACAGCTCCAAGCCTAACCTCCAATGACACATGACTGTGTTTACAAGATTATCACCACTAAAGAAATGACATAAGAAAAACACCAACTAGGCAGCCCTGTAAGTTGTCGGCCCAGGGAAATCTGCAACAGCCAAGTACAGGGTGTCTGGTTCTCCCCTACAGCACCTGCACCCCCATGCCACACCAAGCACAGGAGGCCCTCAGACTGCAGGTGAAGGAGACTCACCTGCACACACTAAAGCCTAGCCACCCGCCCCGGTCAGTAAGGGGGCAAGGGCCTGGGCTCTGGCTCCAGCAGCACTAATTGGCTCTAGTTTTACTGCTTTACTTTCCTTAATTATAAACACTGAAAAATGATCACACAGGTGAAATGAAAACAGGCTGAAGAATCTGGTTTTTGAAACGTATATAGAATTTACTTAAGAAAAAATTAAAGATTCTTCTGAACTATTGTACAGCTGTAAGGAAATTATTCCACTACTCCCATGGGACTGAAGAAGCAGCACAAAGTAACCACAGTAATTGTTGTATTTTGGCACTGTCACATGAATCCAAGACTGTATGTAAGTTTGGCTGAAAGGAAGTTCAAAAGACTGAAATTTGTCATGTGACTGCTAAATTATACAGGCGAATGCATTTACTGGGCATATTTTCAAAACAGAAATTTAGAAGTTAAACATTATCTTACAAAAAATAGCACTTAAATGGATAACTATACCTTTGACTCCCTTGTGTACAACTCTATGCCCTGTTAATTCAATTCCAGAGAGTGCACTGAATACAATAAAAATATATCTACAGTTTAAAAGTAAATTGGCCTGGTTAAAACATAATTGTTAAAGAAAAAGAGACATCCTATTAATCTTTTTACATAGAAGTTTCATAACATTTATAAAATATTAAAATACTATTTTTGTAAACATAAAACATACTTTTCAAGTATGTGTAAGGCTAATTAGAAACACGAACATGTATTTATGTTAACTACATCAAAGTAACAGTATATTAACACCAACTCCCATGCCCTCTTAGCAAGCAAAGTTTGGTTCTATTAACTCTAAAATTTCTTTGCCAGAAATCTGAATGTTTATTCAAAAATGCACAATCTGACTCCTGAGGATATCTGTCAAATCATTCTACATGAAGAAGTATCCTGTCTTTGTTAAATCAATTAAATCTATAATTTCGGTATTCCTTCCTTTTGCTAGTAGAAGACTGATACTGTTTGGCCTGTTTTGTAATAAGCAATCACTTTAGAGAAAATGAAAAGAGTTGCCAATAAATGTTGTTTTTATTTACCTTTCCACAGTTAATTTTCATTTGGGAGAAGCAATAAACAAAGCAGCCACCTCTCTAGGCTATGAAGTGATTTACCTGCAGGAATTACTAGAGATTCAGATTTTACTTTCTACACAGTTCTTCCTCCACCCAGTTAGGGTCACCCAACCTAGCTGAATCACATCTCTAGGGTTCAGCTTTGCTATGTGTTTAGTAGCATAAAATAACTACTTTTTACCTTCCCCAACCCTCCCAGGAGAGACAGAAATTAAAACTATGACGTAGGGCGGGGGATATAGGTCAAAGGTGGAGTGCTTGCCTAGCATGCATGAGGTCTTTCTTCCATATCCAGCACCACAAAACAAAAATTGTGTGTGTGTGTTTGTACTGTATATATGTATATAAGTCCTTCAACAGGAAATACAAAGAGCATGCTATTTTTAAGTGGACATCATCCACAAGTTTTGGTATGGCTAAGAGCTAAATCTATAAAGGACATTAAATCATCTCACAAAAGAAGTGTGCATCCTGTTCCCAACTATAAATGAATTGCTGATATGAAAGACAGAAAGAAGCTATGTAATGTTTTAACTTCCTACATACATCTAAGAAGCCTCCCAAAAGCATCTTGTTAAGCAAATCCCAGGAGTGAGAAGACTGGAAATGTTCTTCAGTATTTATATTCGTCACGGGACACTCTCCCAGCCAATACAGATGGAGCCTGCATCTACCAGGCAAGCATCCGGTCACCCACAGCCCTCGGCACTTTAGATACTTAAGTTAGCTTCAAATAGCAATGTGATCCTCAAGGTGTTGCCTATGTCCTCTCTTCTGACATTAGAATGACATCTATATAAAATATTCAGATGCACATTTGGTCAGCTCAAAAGTATTATACCCAGAGGTACGATATAGGGCATGCAGAAAATAATCTCAACAGTTTTGTATTTCCACTTAGAGGTACAAAACAAAACAAACAAAAAAGAAAACCTCCTTGAGGTTTGATTTTAATATACAACTCTTGATATTGATTTTAATATATAACTTATTAATTTGATGTAAGAAATTAGAGGTTTGGTCCCTTAAAATTACTAAGAACAACAAAAAAATTTAATGGAGAGGCTTTTAAAAGCATTGCTTCTCGACTGCTGAGACAGGTCCACACAGATTCATCGGTTTATAAACATACCCAATGCTCACTTTAGTCAATTTATTATCATCTAATTTTAATGAACAGCATGTGGCTAAAATTTCATTTGACAGTGCCTCTACTTGCAATAAATTGCTACAAGTACCTTAAGGGCCCATAGGTAACTACTGTGTAATTCCTAAAATATTAACTTGTACACAATGGCTCAATGACAAGTTTAAAGGACAGAACACATGGTACATACTTAAAGAGCTTTTTGAACAGAAAACCTGGTACTTTAAAACCTTCATCAAATTCCGCATCACTCTCCTCTGAGTCGTCTTCAAGCTTCAGGTGTTTCTCTTTGTTCTGCAATCTAAGTTTAGTCCATCTCCTGCAGTGAAAATAAAAATCTTATTTCCATTATTTTGGTCACAAGACAGCTTAAAATATTTTTACATCATGCACTGGGAAAAACAGGTAAATTAGAATAGGCTTTCAGCTCTCCACCATCACCACACAAAACACTAAGATTCAAAGGAGAAAAATCATTTTCTTTTCCTGCCTTCTCAAGTTAATTCTTGTCTCAATTATTATGGGTGCTCTAGAAATATTCCTGAAAGGTCTCACTTCATTATCAATGTCTTGCTCCTCTTCTGGCATACCCTGAGGGAAAATCTCTGTGCAAGTTCCTGAGATGGTATGAAATAAGATCCAGAAAGGAGCCAGAAATTTTTCAATATAATTACTAAATCTCCAAGATAGCATAACAATAAACATTTTATTTATAATCATTACTTCTGTGCTAAAGATAGGATAGTCATTAGCTTAAAAACACAGTATCTTGGACATGAGGCAAATTTTTGGTCAAAATCACTGTATCAGATTCCCTTTACTAAGTGCTTAATTAAAGTGGAGACACGAACAACAAGAAATGATAATTATATCACTCAAAAAATGTGTTCAAGGGCTGGGGATTTAGCTCAATAGTTCTGGCGCCTGCCTCACAAGCACAAGTTCCCGAGTTCGATCCCCGGTACCAAAAAAAAAATGTGTTCATGGGTTGGGATCTAGTTCAGTGGCACTGTGCCTGCCTGGCAAGTGCAAGGTCCTGAATTCGATCCCCAGTACTGGAAAAAAATTTTAGTACAACTTTAGATTTATTTAATGAATACATTTTTTCCTTTTTTTTCCTGGTAGTTTAGAAATATCTTTAAATATCTTTAGAAATAAAGTTTAGAAATATGCTTTTAGACTTAAAATAAGATGAACATACATATTTCAGGAATATGACAACACGTATGTTTAGCAGAAACAGTGTCACTAAAAGTTCTAAGTCTTACAACATGCCAAGGCTATAAAGACGGTGAAGCCATTTAACCAGACAAATTTTGTATTCCTGTAACAATAATGGACCCTGGCATTCTGAGTAAAAAGAAAAAGAATACCTAAGTTAATAGCCTCTGATTCTATTCACTTTCAAAATCAAGGGTTATCTTTTTTAGCACACATGCAACTGATGCTCTGGGTATCACAAAACAATGCAATGGAATAAGGCAATCATACAGATAAATGCTGCAATTGAAAGGATCACAGAAAGGGAAAGAGAGCAGCAACTTACACAAGAAAGTGTTCATCTGCCACTGACCATGAAAGAATACTACAGGATGTCTGAGGAAGGCAAGAGAGAAATCAGAAAAGTAAGCCTGCAAACACTGCCCATCAGAGGTATAGCACCTTCTCCTGGACTCAACACAAAACCAGCATCCAGGCCAAATAGAGGAGAGTGAGAAGTAAGCCCATCCCAGGAGCTGCTGGTGGTCCTTCCTCCAATAAAACTTCAATTGTTCAAAGTCACAAAAGGGAGGGCTTGCTGGGGTCTGCTTGTGAACAGTAAGAAAGCCCTGGTTGGTGATTGCAAACTGCTCTGCAGGGTGGTGAGAGAGGTTACAACAAAGATCAGTAAGGCACTGTTGTTGATTTCCAGAGAACAGCAAAATGCAAGAGGTAGAATGTGGCCAAGTCTAGGGAAATAGGTATCATAGAACCATAAGGTTCAACTTGTGATACTCCTTGTGTCTTAGTTACCTTTCTCTCCTTGCTGAGACAAAATACCCAAAGCCCACAGTTGAAGGAGAAAAGGTTTATTTAGCTCACAGTTTACAGGTTTCAGTCCATAACTGACTGGCTCCAAGGAAGGGTGGCACATGACAGAGGGGCAATAGTTCATGGCAGCAGAACACAGCAAAAGCAACAAGGGGCGACCACAGCTCTTTCTATCCCTTCTATCTTACCCAGACTACTTACCTCAGGTAGCACTCACACCCTTAATCCTAGTGTCCTTTAGCCTAGGACTACACCATGAATCAATCACACATTCTAGAGTCAGTCATCTCAGAAAAAGCCCCACCCTCAACTGCATGAGGCTTTTGGGGGAAATCTAGACACAAGCCACAACACTTTCTATATAATACTTAGTCCTTTTTGTGCTTAACTTCTAAAGGCAATCTTTTCCTTTTATTAGTATCTTTCTTCCTTAAAAAATATCCCCATGCAGTTATTGAAACGAAGTATCTCTATGAGGCTATAACAGTCTTTGCTTTTCTTTGGAATTTCCCATTATGTACAAATGCAGATAAGGGGAATGGTGTACCACAGTGGTTATAAATGATTCTGCCCCCTCACCCTGACCCCCTGGTAATCTGACCACACCTAGAGATATTCTTGGTTGTTGAGATGCAGAGGGAGCAGATACCTCCTACTGGCATCCTGCAGACGGGGTCCAGAGACGCTGCTAACAACCTACAACACACAGGGCAGCCCACCCCCCAGAGAAAGTGACCAGACCTCATGCGCCAATAGTGTCAAAACTGTGGTATCCACAGGTATCCCTTACTAGCAGAATGGAGACACTGAAAGATGTATATAATTTTCTTGATGCTCTTGTCTGAATTCTTGCTATTTACTCCCTAACATTTAGCAATCAAGCAGTTTCTGCTGAGATATCCTCACTACACAAACCCTATCATAACTCAGCATCTAATATTTACTTAACAACGGACATGTGTAGTTAGCAAATTTGTGGGTAGTGTGAAACTCAAAAGATCACAAAAGCTATCACAGCCACCTAAAAAGACTTCACTCTGCAATTTCTCAATGACTTCATGAGAAGAGAAGTAAAAACACCAGAAGATACCGGCTTTAGAAGTTTGACACAGGAAGACCATTACATATTTTCCATACCAGAGTATCACATACTAAAACTTCACTGAGAGATGATAGCTATTTCCTTAGTCGCAGCCGGTAAATCTTTGCGGCTGTTAAATTTCCCACCACATCACTCTACATCGACAAGGTTTTGCCTTCTCGTGCTGCCACGCTCTCTCCCTCTTAAAATATATGGGGATTGTGTCACCACAGAACTCAGCACCAAGGAAACCACAGAAGCCACCACAGAAATGATTGCATCCCAGTGCCTTCCGCTTCATAAAGAAAGATGAAAAGCACTGAACATTTATCCTGTTTGGCCAAAGGATGAGTAAAGGTGGTGAGGAAAATCATTACAGCCTACAAGCACCTGTATCATTGTGAAGACAAATTGCCCCAGAAGAGTCATATACACATAAAGTCAGAAAATACCAGGGTTACAGCTGTATGTGCATGTGGCTCAGGCTTAGATTCCGTATGCACTGCAGCATTTCCTCATGTGGTTTAGAGCTGACCAACTGGGGAGGCCCACTGAACCAGTGTGGCAAGAAGCCGCTGGCCAACAAGGTGGACACAGGACATGCCACACGAGGGTGAGGTCAGGGAGGAGGGTCAAAATCACCTGAAAACAGAGAGAAACAGGGGAAGAGCCTGCCACCTGCAGGGCTGCCAAGAATCCTGCAGGTGCCCTCTTCAGTGTGATAAGCAGCCTGTCCTGCAGGCCAGCAGGCTGCGCGAGCAAATGGGGGCGCTGTGCTGTGAGCACTCAGAAGCACCGCCTGCGCACAAAAGTTTGGGCGCACACTGGCTGGGACCAAATCCTGCTGCCGTTTATTAACGCTTTAACCCTCAGCATGGAACTTAACCTTGTTAGTGTCTAGGTTTCCTCCACTGGGCATCTACTTCACTGGGATTGGGGGAGGAGTAAATGAGGCGTCACATGTAAAGTGCTCAGCATGGAGCCCAGAGCATAAGAGTGCTTATCAAGTTAGGATACGATCATATATAATCACATACAAGTGCTGGAATTCTCCCAGCAACCCTGAAAAAGCCACTATTACAAGCTCACTTAGAGGAAGAAACAGATGATATACAGTCCAACACGATCTCCACGCGATAACCCAAAGCACCTCACGTTTAACAGAACTCCCAGAACTCGTGAATTTGAATTAAAACTATCCAACCACTGAATAAAACAGCACAGTTTTAACTCAGATCTGGATCCAAGTGAGCTGAAATCTTAAAAATCAAGAATGAAGTTAAGTATGGTGACACCTGTAATCCTAGCACTCTAGGATGCTGAGGCAGAAGGAGCACAAATTTAAGCCCAGCCTGAGCAAGGTGGCAGCACAGAAAGACCCTGTCTCAAAATAAATAAGAAAAGGGCTGAATGGCCGCACCAAAAAATATACTGATTGTAAAATATATATGCATGTATCAGTTAACTGAGAAAAGTTGGAAGGGGCAGTAAACTGTCCAATATTTACCTTTTCAGAAAAGAAATTCCAACTTTTTCCTGTTATCTATTCTCTCATTTTAAACACTCCACATATGTAACAGTCACAGCTGCAGCCACATAAAACCAAGTGGGCCTGGTATTCTCTGGCAGGGTTTCCCCTCCTCACATGACTGCCATGTTCAGCCCGCTGTTGCCTCCACTGGCAGCTACTCAGAACAGAAGCCAGCAATAACCATAAACGTACAACTGCAATCAGAGCAGGCACAAAAAGTATTCCCCAGCCTCCCCACATGTGTGCAGGAATGAGAACCTGGCCCAGGCTGCCAGGCCACGGGCTGCTGCTGCAATAAAATCTTTCAGAAGCCACCCAGGCATGGTGTAACCAACTGACCTGCTCCGGGACCAGGGAACCCTACCAGGGTGCCTCATCACCACAGCCCTAAGATGACATCTAGGAGCCAGTCATTACCATTAAATAAATGAGTGTAGTTTAAGACAGAGAACCAGAGAAGCATGGCTTGGCCATGGTCAGTGGGTTACTCAGAAATGGTTCTAGGGACTTCCTGTTCTGTCTCACATAGGGCCTGTCTCCTGCCCATTGTCTACAGTTCTGCTGTGTGCCCCTGAGCCCCACACCTAGCTCTAGCCACTGGGAAAACCTGGTTAAGGCCAGCGGCAAAGAACAACCCACACAAGAGGGCAACTGCAACCCTGGAACAATTCTTAAC